GTTGGTGCTGGATTTGGGGAAGGCAGACCCCATTTCCTGCTGCCAGGGGTCAGCCTCATGGTTCTGCCCTTTGCTGGGTTCAGAATGGAGAAGGGATAGAATATGGGTATGAAAATTAGGGTAGAGCCCCTTCATGCAGAGAACTGGAGACTCCAGACAGCTTTGCAAGTGTCCCTAATCCAGCAACTAAGCTGTTTGTGCAATCCCTTGGGCCCAGGACTTTTGATTTCACTGCTTTCTTACATTTTCCCAGCACTGGGTTCTGTGTTGTTTCATTTCATTGTGGGGAAACTGAGGCCCTGATAGATGGGTATGACTAGGTAGTCCTACCGCCCTCTCTTCCTCCTGTCATCTCACCAAATCATGTGGTACCTGACTGGGGCAGGTTGTTCTAGTAAGACATTTCACAATTCTTAAGAAATACCCAAGCCGAGAGAGAGAGAGAGAGAGAGAGAGAAAAGAAATGCCATCAGGCATTTGACTTGGTCTGCCTTTGGAGTAGAGAGGGTGATTTTATGACCTTACTTTTCCTGTGGTGATGATGTCCTTCCAGACTATAGCACCTAATGCTTTGTAATAGGTCGTCAATAAAGTTTTATTAAGCAGTTATTCTGTACCAGGCACCAAGGAGAATATGACCAAAACCAAGTCCTTCAGTGTTCCTCTCTTGCAACTCCAGCTGTAGCAGGAGACATGCTGAGCACATGGTGTGTCAGTGTGAGGAGTGGAGGAGAGGACAGAAGGATGGGGGAGGGGTGCTGCCAGGATTGGCTGGTCACAGTGGGTCTCCCTGAGTAGGGTGTTTAGAGCTGCGACCTGAAGGAGACAGGGAACAAGTTCTGGGGAGAGAGCAGAACCTCCTTCTAAAAAAGTACTGCGAATGCATTGACTGATCCCGCAATTAGGACGAGGTGGGAAGGCCTGTGGTACATGGTGGCGGCTGGCTCCTCTGGGTTGGCAGTGTAACTACTGGACGAGGGCCCACTTTATTCCTGCTGTGCTCCAGACTCTGGGCTGGGTCCCATGGAGCCCCGAGGCCTGATTACACATGCTGACCTTCCTCCCAGGGAAGTGCACTTGGCTAGAAGTGTAGGGGTGTTTGTGTGGCTGTTGAAATACTGTGGCAGGAGCTGGGAACCGGAGGGGCTGGCTTTGTTATCTGTGCATGAGGAAGAGAGGTTTGAAAATGCAGTAGCTGGGCTAGGGATGGGCGCATCTCTATAGTGGGGACTGTGGCAGGCAGTACCTTGGCCTTGGCTGCTAGGGACCAGTTGAGAGGGAGCTCTTCAGGAATTGCAGGCTATGAGCTCAGTCTTAAGGCCTCTGACTTATTGAGACCACGGATAACTAAATCATCTCCAGTATTTGAATACATACAGAGCTGTGTGGGCCCGGGCCAACTCCTCTTGTCTGTTTCTCCTGTTTTTATTTTTCTCATGTGGAAACTAAGGTACAGAGAGTGAGCCTAGCCAATAGGCAGGCCCTCTCCCTCCCTGTAGTCTCCCCTAGGTCCATAGCATCCTCAGGGCATGAGGAAAGGTTGCCACTTCAGAGAGTTGGTGTGGGCACAGGCTCTCTGCCTACTCCTGCCCTTACCTGCCTCCATCAGATGGATTGGAGTTGGAGTCAGGCAGGCTATTCCTCCCAGTTCCTAGTATGTTGGATCTTTGTCAGACCTTCTGTGACATACATATACAATGTTCATCTTCCCCATTAGATCAGGAGCCTGGCTTGGGGCTGGGCCTATGTCCTTAAGTAGTATTTTGGGAAGGAAGGAGGGAGGGGAAGGCAGCAGGAGGCCCTCCCAGACCCTTCACTGTGTAGACTCCCATATATCCAGCTTGATGGCTTTGGGGGTGCTGGGCCACCTTGAAGAAGCTGAAGCAGGAACCATATTCTGGCAGTCCTTCAGTCATACATATAGAGCACCTACTGTATGCCCAGAGGGAGCCCTGAGGACACAGAGTGCACAACATAGTTTCAGCTCCCTGGAAGGGGGACCTTCCAGCTGGGAACCAGAGAAAATTCACAGGATGAGAAGGTAAATGATATTAGCGTGCTTGGAGGCTGATAAGGATAAGGCACTGGTGTGGGGAAGAGACTGGAGAGGTCTGTCATCTCAGGTGGGGGGCAGGGCAGGCCTCAGAGAGAAAGTAACACCTGAATGAGTGGAGGAAGGGAGCCCTGTGTGTGCCTGCAAGCAGAGAAGAACCCGCAGGCAGGAGCAGGCCCGGAGTTGTGAGCAGGGAAACCAGCAGGACTGGAGAAAGAGTGAGTTGTTGTCAGACGAAGGAAATTTTGTAGGGTCTTATAGGATGTGCTAAAGACTTTGGCTTTTACTTGGATGAGGTGGGAGCCATGGGGGGTTCCGAAGAGAGGAAGGCTGAAGTTTGGCTTTAAAGAGGGTCAGTGCTGTCGGGGGAAAGCAGGCTTAGTGGAAGCTTTTTAATGTTCTTATGACCCTGGAATCTGGTACATGGTTCTGAAGTGACAAAGAGTCCAGTAAAGAAGGCAGGTGGTGAGCCGTGGCCAGGCGGCTCAGTTTGGAACATTGTTCCATTTACCTAAAGGTTGCGGGTTTGATTCCTGGTCAGGGCACATGCCTAGGTTGCAGGTTTGATCCCCGTTCAAGGCTCATGCGGGAGAAGGCTGGTGGTGAGGGATGGGCCTGGCTGGCTCCTGCACCTTCCTGGTGCCCACAAACATGCTGAGGAAGAAACCAGGGCTTTCCAGCACAGTCTCCTGCATATCTTTTACCCACACTGACAGAAAGGAGACTGCCAGCATATCCTGAGCTCTGGGGGACCACAGCTGACAGGTCCTGGTCCCATAAACATGATCCACAGTGACCTGGCTCTGATGTGGGAAGAGACCCAAGATGCAGGATGGAATGCTGGGTGGCATGGAGTCAGGGAAGGCTCCCCGGAAGAAGTGACAGGCAGGTAGACCCTGGAAGAGGAGGAAGTGGGGCCAGACCTGGTGAAGCAGAGGTCTGCAGGGAAGAGGGCCTGTGTCATGGCCCCCAGCCTCTTTCTCATCCCACATCCCCCTGTATTCATCCTGGAAGGGAGATGGTTTCTTGCAGGTGCTGAGACCAGGGTCTTGAGCCAGAAAAGAACTGAGACATGTTGTGGGAGTTGGAGAAGTGTTCCATTTTTGGGTGGCTGCTGCGGGAAGAGCAGCAGAGTGTTTCCTCTTGTCCCTGTGGAGAGCTGGAGCATGACTGTCCTTGGGAACTGGGTCAGCTGATGGGGGTGGGGGTGGGTGATCCTGGATCCTCCAGCTGGTGTCCTCATTGCCCCTGCTCCCGAGTGGCCAGTGCCCATGCTAGACAAGGTAATCAGTGATCTGAGCCCGTGGAGTGCCCCTGACCCAGGCTGCAGAGCTTCAGTTGCCCACAGGTGGCTTTACAAAAGCCATATGACATGAGAGCCAACTGCCTAGAGACATATTTTCTGAACTCCAAATCTCAGCTTCACCACTGAACTTGGGCCTAGTCATTTCACCTCTCTGGGCCTCTGTTTCCTTATCTGTAGTACAGGCATTATAGAGATGCCTATCTGCTGTGGTTTTCACTTGTGAGGAGCAAATGGGGCCACAGGCTGGGCCTGGCCAGAGCAAGTGAAGGTTGAGTGTTGGCCATAGTTTGTTAGGTTACTGTGATAGGAAGGCGAACCTCCTTGAACTCCTTTCTTTCTGTCTTGTTACACCTGTAGGTAGAGATTCTAGACCTGCTGGCCTTTTCCTATCTCCATCTCCATCCTTTCTTTTGAGGCAGCTAGCTGTATGTCTGTACTGTGGTTTATGTAGCCAGGTCTCCTCCTGGTGGACAGAGAGGTGATTTCAGTTTTTTACTTTTGCAAGCAGAGTAGTACACATTTTTGCATCTCTGCAGTGGTTCAGTTCTTTAGGCTGTTTGCTGCATGGCTTATTTCCCTCTTTTTAGCATCACTTTTTAGCAGGAGCCATAATCTCTGAGCCTTGTTCCCAACATTTACTATGAAAATTCAAACATAAGGAAAAGTTAAGGGATTATACAGTAAGTGCCTGTAAACTCAGCCACCTACATCCTACAATGAACATTTTTTATTCTTGCGTTATTCCATATCTGTGCTTTGGATTTCTCTGGCTTAATGATAGGACCAGCACTGCCTTATTAGTAACTTATTTTTCCCCTCCATATCAGTGTCAGTATGGCTTTCAGACACCCTAGGCTCAGAAGGCATGCAAAGGCCCCTTACATCCACTTGAGGCCCTGCCTAGAAAGCATTTCTTCTGAGGGGTTCATGTCTGGGTGGGGATGGGGGGCTTGAATAGCTAGGAGGGAAGGAGGGACATTGAGATAGGCTTTGATGAGGCCAACAGTAATGCCCTATTCCCCATACTGTGTGGGTGCCTTAGGGAAGGATTCATGGGTCCTAGGGACATGTGCCAACTGGTGAGTGCTGGCAGCTTGGGATCCTTCTGGGACAGCAGCTTGCGTCTCTTTCTTCTGTGATCCACAGTGAGGGAGGTTCTGCATCACGACCCAGGACTCAGTCTCACGTATGTATAGCACCGTAGCAGAAGTTTCATCAGATGTACATAACCCAGGATCTGGGTGACATATGCCGTATTTCCTCTTTTATTCTGTTTATCCAAAAAGAATAAGTGCTGGTCACATCCACCTGTTGATTTTTGTTTTTTTTACTCATAATATGTCATGATGTATAGTTTTGCAAAATGCTTCATAAGTATGTCTGTTCCATGGGGACGGGATCTTTGCCAGTTTTGTTCCTTGTGGAATCCCTGAGGTCTGGAAGGGGGCTCAGTCTATAGGAGCCCCCCCCCCAATACTTGTTACAAGGATGAATCTATTGCTTCCCGGATTCCTAGAGTCACTGTAACTGATTCTTCACTTTCTCTGCTTGCAAAGTGTCTGTCCCACAAGGCCGTCTGCTCCCCACCCAATACAAGACTGCTTCTCTTTCTCATTTTGAGCATCTTTCTTCCCTTTGCAGAATATGCTGAGTTTTTGCACTGCAAGTCCAAAAAGTTTACAGACTTTGACGAAGTCCGACAGGAGATCGAAGCAGAGACCGACAGGGTCACGGGGACCAACAAAGGCATTTCCCCAGTGCCCATCAACTTGCGGGTCTACTCGCCACACGGTAGGCAGCATGAGCATATACCTATTATGGGGGCAGAGGAAAGCTGACTGTGCTGGTCACAGGTTGGGTCAGCCTTACTGTCACAAAGAATATGGCCTCTCCCATTTTCTTCATATACACTCAGCCCTCTTGATCTGTAGCTTCCCACTTTTGAAAAAAGGTGGTACTAAGAAATTGATTTCAGCTTTGAGAAAAATAGCTGCCAGAAACACTGTCAGGAGTGGTGGGGACTGGGGCAGATTATAGCTATATGCTCTTTCTTATCCTCACCCGAGGACATTTTTGCACTTATCTTCAGATAGAGCAGGAAGGAGAGAGGGAGGAAGAAAGAGAAAGAAACATTGATATGAGAGAGACACATCCACTGGTTGCCACCCACGCGACCCCAACCAGGGCCAGGTACAAATTGCAACCGAGGTACGTGCCCTTAGCGGGAATTGAACCAGGGTCCCTCTGGTCTGCAGGCCGACGCTCTAACCTCTGAGCCAAACCGGCCAGGGCTCTGTATTTATTTTTAATTAAAATAACATTTTACTTACAGTTGACATTCAATATTCTATTAGTTTCAGGTGTACAGCACAGTGTTTAGACATTTATATAACTCAGGTGATCTCCGCAAAAGTTTAGAATCCACCTGACACCATACATAGTTATGACGATATTTTATCGACTACATTTCCCATGCTGTACTTTACATCCCAATGACAATTTTGTAACTGCCGATTTTGTGTGCTCCTTTTGAAAGGGCAGATACCACTTGGCTCCCAGGTGATGGTGGCCACATAGAGACAAGTGAAACCAGCCCAAGGCAGCCATGTCTTTCAGTTTCTCATGAAAATCAGAAAAACTTCTCTGCCAGATGTCCTGATTTTAAAACTGCGTCATTTAAACAGAGCAGCCTGTGTTCATATTATAACCTTTGGCCCAGAGCATGGATTGCCAACTCAGACCGCATTTGAGAAATATTACAGCAGGTTCCTCAGTATGGGATCCTCGTGATGAGTTCTAAAATTTATTTATTTATTTATTTATTTATTTATTTAATCCTCACCTGAGGACATTTTCCTCTTTTTTTTTGTTCAGATAGAGCAGGAGGGAGGGAGGGACGGTGGGGGGGAGGGGGAGAGAGAGAGAGAGAGAGAGAGAGAGAGAGAGAGAAACATAGACGTGAAAGGTACACATCGAGTGGCTGCCACCCGCACGACCCAACCAGGGCCGGGGACAAACTGCAACCGAAGTATATGCCCCCAACGGGAACCGAACCCGGGTCTCCCTGGACCGCAGGCCGACGCTCCAATCGCTGAGCCAAACTGGACAGGGCCTAAACTTTATTTTTGATTAAATTATGCCTATAGGTGGCTCATATTAAAAAATTACAAAGGAATTTACAGCAAAAACCCACCCTAGCCCCCAATATTACAAATATATTTCACGTGCTTCAAATGATAATGCAATATGTAAGTATTTGTGAATATATTCATATGTCTATATATATTTTTTAATATGTTTTTATTGATATTTTAGAAAGATAGAAACATCAGTGTGAGAAAGAAACATCAGTTGGCTGCCTCCTGCACACCTCCGACTGGGGATTGAACCTGAAACCTGGGCGTGTGCCCTGACTGGGAATCAAACTGGGACCTCTCAATCCATGGGACGATGCTCAGTCTACTGAGCCACACCGCCGGGCAACATATGTGTATATTTATATATATACATGTGTATATGTACTCCAATTGTAGCACTATATAAAAATTATTTATGTCCCTTTTTTGTATGAATACATCTTAAAGTGTTTCTTATCAGAATATCAGCTTTTTGTTTTTAATGTTTCCTTGGTATTGGTCCGCAGACAAAACATTCCGGGTTCAATTCTGGTCAAGGGCACGTACTTCGGTTGCAGTTCAGTCCCCGTCCCTGATCGGGGTTGTGTGGGAAGCAGCCAATCGATGTGTCTCTCTCACGTCAATATTTCTCTCTGTCTCTCTCTCTCTCTCCCTCCTACTCTATCTGAAGATAAAAATAAAAGAGATACAACTGTATCACTGAAATAAAGTAGATAGAGAGTGTCTGTCAATAGGATCCTAGAAGGGGAGTTACTGGATCAGAAGGTGTGACCCAGCTGGAGCAGCAGGAGGACTCCTGAGGCTTGACCACTTGGCACTTGGGGAAATGGGCTGAGTGACTGAAGTGGCTATGTGTGCCTCCCCTCCCTGGGCTCTGGTGACTTTTCCCTCTGGTTTCCCTCCCAGTGTTGAACCTGACCCTCATCGACCTCCCGGGCATCACCAAGGTACCTGTGGGGGACCAACCCCCAGACATAGAGTACCAGATCAAAGACATGATCCTGCAGTTCATCAGCCGGGAGAGCAGCCTCATCCTCGCTGTCACCCCTGCCAACATGGACCTGGCCAACTCAGATGCCCTCAAGTTAGCCAAGGAGGTTGACCCACAAGGTAACCACGAAACCCCATAGTAACAGCTCCTTCTTCCAGGTTCCTTTGAGCATTGCAACTTTCCCAGCATCCTTGATTCCAAGTCACTGGTGTTCTCTTTGGCACATGGCCTCCCTAGAAAAAGGTCTCATGGGATATAGCATTTCCCATGAGGACCGGCAAGTGCTGAAGAGCCTCCCCCAGGAGGCCACTGTGTGGCAGCTGGGCATTCTTCAGACACAATGGTCTCCACTTCTCTTATGCTAAAAGCTAGTGTAGGGAAGTGGGAAGAGCCCAGTCTTCCCAGGGCACAGATGCAAGTCCAAACCCCATCTCTAGAAATTACCCTCCCAAGGGTTGGTCCCCTTTCTAAGTCCAAATGGGAGCATCAATTCCAACCTGTAAAGTTGCTGAGAGTACTGGGGATGCCTCTATAACTGTTCAGGGGCCAGGCATGGGAGGTGAAAGAATGAATTAATGAAGCAGTCATTAATTCAAGTTGGGGCAGTTGGTAGTGGGAAACTGGCATCTCTGGCTCAGGGCATTCCGGGTCAAATTTTTGCAGTCGTCATTTGTTCAGTAAAAGTTAAGCACCTAGTGTATGCCAGGCTCTGTTTTGACCTTGGGAATCTTGCAGAGGACAAAATTGACAGGGTCCCTGCCATTGGGGAGCTGATATTCATTCTGACGGGGGTGACAGAATCCAGCAAGGAAATAAGCAAGTAGGATAATTTCTGGTAGAGGTAAGCACTGGAAGAAGATAGAACCCTTTGAAAGTGGCTGGGGTGGGAAGAGATCAGGAGCCTCTAAAGATGTGAGGTTCTAGGCAAGACTAGAAATAATAAAAAGAGGCAAAAATCCAGGAAAATGGACAGTAGATGCTAACTCGTCTGGGTGTGATTTGAGCCTGGGTTGCCCAAGGCACAGCGAGGAGGCTAATATGGCTGGCAGAGCCAGCTCAAGGAAGGCCAGGGGAGGTGAGGGCAGGGCTGGAGCCAGTGCTAGGTGGACCTTGTGGGCAGCCTTGAGAATCTGGCTGTATTCTGAGAATATTGGAGGTTTAGCAGAGTATGTCACACACCGAAACATATTTTTCAAAATGACCTCCAACTACATGATTCCATAATGATTTGGAGGGAGTCGGAGAGACAGGCTCTGAAGCTCATGCTCCCTGGTTTCCAGCCCTGAGTCAAGCCAGGGTTGGTGGTTTGCTGTGGGTGGCTGCTGATGGCTCTTTCCCACCCTGGACTACTGGCTCCTCAAAGTCCAGGGCTGTTCGCTGAGCATCTTTGTCCCGTGGTGGATAGGCTGCAAGCTCCTCCTTAAGGTCATTCCAGGTATGCTTTCTCAGGAGGGGCTGCCCCTGCCCACAGTCCCCACAGCATCCTTGTCCCCCCCACTCTGGTCCCACAAGATGGGGTGTGACTGTGACAAAGATTTTACAGAGGCTTGATCACATGGTGAGAAAATTTGAATACAATCAGGCATCATTTGTGAACTTGATGCTGGCATTCTGCCTTAAAAGAAGTATTTTTCTGCCTTTGAAAGTATTCGTAATTTTTACGCAAAAAATGTCACCATTGTGAAATATAGAACCTAAAAAGTAACAGCTCCTCTTCCCTGTAGAGATACTATTGGTAGCCACATTTGGTAGATATTCTTTCTGAGTTTGTTCTTCCATGTAAACTCACATTTTTTTTTAAAATCCTCACTTGAGGATAATTTTCCATTTATCTTCAGATAGAGTGAAAGAGAGAGAGAGAAATATCAACGTGAGAGAGAGAGACATTGATTGGTCGCCTCCTGCACAACCCCAACGAGGGCCAGGAACCAAACCTCAACCAGGGTATGTATGTGCCCTTGACAGGAATCGAACGCAAAACTCTTTGGTCCATGGGCCGACGCTCTAACTGCTAAGCAAAACCAGCGAGGGCTAAACTCACATTTTTTATTTATTTATTTAATTTTAGTTTTTGAGAGAGAGGGAGAGAAGGAAATATCAGTTTGTTGTTCCACTTACTTATGCATTCATTCCTTTTTTAAAAAAAAATATGTTTTTGTTGGTTTTTTTTAGAGAAAGAAGGGAGAGAGAGATAGAAACATTGATGTGAGAGAGAAACATCTATTGGCTGCCTCCTGCACGCCCTCTACTAGGGATAGAACCCACAGCCCTGGTATGTGCTCTGATCTGGAATTGAATTGGGACCTCTCAGTCCATGGGATGACGCTCAATCCACTGAGCTCATTGATTGATTCTTGTATGTGCTCTGACCAGGGATCAAACCTGCAACTTTGGCATATCGTGATGACGCCTAACCAACTGAACTACCTGGTCAGGGCTAAACTCGCATTTTAAAAACGAGAAGGTTGCCCTGGCCAGTTTGGCTCAGCGGTTAGAGCGTCGGCCGGCGGTCTGGAGAGACTCGGGTTCAGTTCCTGCTAAGGGCACCTACCTCGGTTGCAGTTTGTCCCCGGCCCTGGTTGGGTCGTGTGGGTGGTGACCACTCGATGTGTCCCTTTCACGTCGATGTTTCTCTCTCTCTCTCTCTCTCCCTCCCACTCTAACTGAATAAAATATTGAAAAATGTCCTCAGGTGAGGATACAAAAAAATAAAATAAAATAAAAACAGGAAGATCTTGACTTATTTTTCTGTGATGTGTGTGTGTGTTTCCCTATTACCATAGGGATGTACATAGCCATCTGCTGGGTGCCCCATTGTTGCCTTTGTTTTGTTCTAGCATAGTTGGGTTGTTTCAGGTCTTTTTTTGTTTGTTTGTTAATCCTCATCTGAGGGTAATCTTTCATTGATTTTTAAATACAGTGAAGGGAAGGAGGGGGAGAGAAAGAGAGAGAGAGAGAAACATCGATATGATAGAGACACATCGTTGGTTGCCTCCTGCATGACCCTGACCGAGGCTGGGATCGAACCTGCAACTCAGGTACGAGCCCTTGACTGGGAATTGAACCTGTGACCCTTTGGTCTGCAGGCCAACACTCTATTCGCTGAGCCACACTGGCCAGGGCTGTTTCAGGTCTTTAATAAACAAAGGTTTAGTGACATTTGATGTTTCCGACGCCCCTAGATCCCCTTCCCCATCACATCTCTCTACCTTGCTCTGGTCCTCTTCTCCAGACCAGGCATGAGCTTTGTTCATATTCATAGCTGTGGTCCCTTTGCTCTCTGAAGATGCCCTCTGATGCCAGCTCACAATCTCACAGCAGAATGGGCACAGGCAGGGGTCCTAGGAAGGGCATGCTGTCACCCCCTAGATGCCCACATTAGTGCCCCTGTCATACACACACATAGTTGGCACAGAAGTGGCCACGGGCAGTGGCAGGAGGGGTTGATTGGCAGGTTTCAGGCTTTATCAGGATGTTCCTTTTGGTTCTAGGTGACCTGGAGAGAGGCAGAATTCAATAGGTGGCTTCTAGAGTGGAATTTTGGCCATTCCGGTGAAAGGTTACCCTAGAAACAGTAGCCTTAGTTTTCATATTGTGTTGAGACTTTGCATGCAGAGAACATATAGCATGGCGCCTCTGACCTGGGAGTTCAGTGAGATTTCCTCTGATGCTATAGCAGCAAGACAAGGTCACTGATCATACAAATGACAATGACGGTGGCCAGCATTTATTGATTGAACATTTGCCACATGCCAGGTTTATTCTTATGGTCAACTCCCTGAGATTGATGCTGTTGCCATATTCATTTCACATGAGGGAAACTAAAGTCCGGGTAGGTGACATTGTGGTTTTGTCCCAGGTCATACAGCATGGGGGTGCCCATTTGGACTCGTGGTGGCCTAGGGCTTCTTCCTAATACTGCCTTTGACCTCTGGGCTCTTTTAGGCCTGCGGACCATTGGCGTCATCACCAAGCTTGACCTGATGGATGAGGGCACCGATGCCAGGGATGTCCTGGAGAACAAGCTGCTCCCCTTGAGAAGAGGTGTGGTTGGCTGGAAAGCTGGGAGCCATGGGGTTGGACAATGGGAGCATAGGGCCAGGGGAGGGGAGGTCTGGAGGGCCACAGGGTCAAGGGAGGGCACGAAAGACGGGTGGAGCAGAGCAGGAGAGCTGGTGCACCCCTGCTTTTTTAAAACAAAGTTTGTTTTGTTGTTCTCATTCTCAGCAAATGCTCCCAAATACATTCACCTATCACCTGTTTCCCCACTGTCCAGAAGTCACTGCTTTTCTGTTCCACCATAAACCCTTCTGACTTCTTTTTCCAAGTGAACATATGTATCTTTTTCTTCTGTTTATATACATTCAATTTTCAGTTACTCACTTAACAAACCTGCTCATTTGGGCAACCATAAGAAAACAAATACCCTTGAATAACATGGGTTTGAACTGCGTAGATCCAGTATATATGGATTTTTACACTGACCTGCACGGTACAGACCCATGTTGTTCAAGGGTTGACTCCCATTGGGAATCCACACATGTGGAGAGCTGGCTGTAGTTATATGTGGATTTTCAACTGAACTGGAGGTCTGCACTCTTGACCTTCGCATTGTTCAAGAGTCAACTATGTAGAAAGAAGAAACTAAAATCAAACTAAAATCATCCCTAGCCTAATCCCCCCAGATAGCCACTAGTTAACACTTTGTGGCTATCTTCCAAAAAAGATTCCAAGAATTTGTAACTTTTATTAATTTTTATACTTACTTTTTGTTATGAACATTTTCAAACATTCTTGACAATAGAATGGACCCACAGCCTCAGTGATTATCAACTCACAGCTAGTCTTGAATCTCCCTCATGTCCTTGCCTTCTGTTTTCATTTTCTTCCTGGGGGATTATAAAGCAGTCTTAGGCATCATATCATTTTATTTATTTATTTTTGTTACAGATATTTCTCCTTTTTCCCCCATTGACACCCTCCTCCCCCACCCTTCCCAGCATCATATTATTTTACACATAAAACCCAAGTTTCTGTTTTAACAGCCCCCCCTCCCAGCCCCTTTGTTTTTTCTTTAACATTCATTTGTGGAAGAAACCAGATCATGTCCTACACTCAGGATTTGGCCAATGGTAGTTAGTTTCCTGTAAACGGTAATTAGATCTAGACAGATGCCTGACTAGACTCAGTTTTAGGTTCAGATCCTCTGATAGGAGTAACCTAAGTATTTTTATTTCCAAAAAATTAGTAGTAAACATTTATTATATGTCTGTTATGTACCAGACATTGTTCTGAGCTCTTGATGTATAAGAGCCCACTTAATTCTGATAACAACCAATATGGTGGCTCTGTTCTCGTCCTCATTTTATGGATGAAGAATCTGAGCCACAGAGAGGCGAAATCCCTTGCCCCAGCTTACACAACTAGCAAGTGGCAGAGCTAGCCCTCCAGTGCCATGCTGCTTTGTGACCTGATTTTCCATTTCACGTAGCAAAATAGCAAAACATTTCCTCACAGCAGGCATATATTTTTCAAGATGGCTTCAAAAAGTACCATGGAGTCCCTTGTATGGGAGTGTATGGGCCATTTGTTACTCATTCTCCATTTGTTGAACACTTAGGTTGGTTCCAGTTTTCCCTGTGGCACAGTGTTGACTAGTCATCTAGATTTTTGTTTTCCTTAGGCTATTTCTTCCCTAATTACTTTGCTGTCTTTTCCATTCCTTCCCTCTGGGATCAGCTCTCAGCTGTGGGCACCTTCTGGCTCTTGCACCTTGTCGAGATCTTGTCTTTTGTCCCCAGGGTTTCCCTCCTTGATGTGTGGGATAGCCATGGGGGAAACATTCAGACCTTGGTTTCCACCTTCCCCCAGCACTGCTGAGACATTGAGTGATGAGAGGTGGCCCTGGATAAAGACCGAGCGTGGTCAGCAGCAAAACCTAAAACCCTGTTTGACTGTGAGGATCAGAGACTGAAGAGCAAATCCATGTCCAAGGTTTAGGAAGGAAGGGTCAGTGCTGAAGAGGGAAGCAGGTCCTATCTGTCCCTGCGCCCTCCACCGGCAGCTCAGCCCCAAGCTCCCTTGTGCATGTTGGACCACCATCTTAGACTCCAAGGGACAATAGCTGTGCTCAGCAATGCTACCTAGTGGCTGGATGACATGGACCTCCTCACCTTCTTTCCTCCCCACTCGCTGTTGTCTATGTCTCCCCTCTGCCTTTCTGTCTGTTTCCAAGAAAGTGGCTCTTCCTGTTTTCACTCACTTACACGCTGTGACTTCTGACTTAAGACCTCAGGCTCTCTCAGTTTTCTCCTCTTGCCTCTCAGCTTTCAGAATCCCTCCAGTTGGATCCTTTTTCTTGGCGTATGACAGACTCAGAACCACAGCACCTTTAGAGGAACCAAAACCCAAACCAGACTCCTCTCTCTACCCCCTACTGCTTCCTTCTGCTTACGATGATAGGAATGATAGAGACTTTGTGCTTCCCGCGGATCTGTGTTCTCCTACTAATCCTCTCTGAGACCTTTGTAAGTAACCTTACCTTGGCCTGCCTTGATTCCCTCATCTGTAAAATGCACATAATGAAAGATGTGGAGAGTACAGAAATCAGGTCTGTATAAGACTCAGCAGGTGTCACGCCCCTTCTCCCCAAGAGAAACGTTGAAAGATCCTCACTGCCAAGAGAATGGGGATAAATATATATGTTTATCACTTCAGGTCTTTTGCCACCTATCTGCAGCCCCCTTTTCCAACTTTAATTATATTAATAGCAATGAATAACCACCTCTGTTTATTGAGCACCTACCATTTGTTGACCACTAGACTAAGTTCTTAATTCCCACAACACCCATATTGTTCACTGCCTTGTGTCCATGCTCAGGGGCTCTCAGCTATTCTGTCTTTTTTAATACCATCCCCCTTCCTTACTCTTTTTTCTCCTCTTTCTTTATGTTTTTCTCTATCAACTCTTTATTTCCAAATATTGCAAATCTTTTTTCCACACTAGCATTATTATTCTAAAAAAATTTCTCATGTTTGGAAAATTCCAAAATGATACTGAAGGCTCTTAATTGAGGAGACTGTCTCTCAGTCCCCTCCCACAAGTCCCATTTCTCGTGTACTCACAGTTAACCCTTTCTTAGGTTTCATTCATAAAATTTTTGCATAAATACATTTATTTTTAAAGCTCATCCATGTTTTCTTCAAGTACTTCTATAATTTCATATTTTATGTGTAAATCAATGATCCCTCAAGAATTAATTTTGGTAGGCACCTGACTTTGACAACAGTGACCATTGAATAATCCAGCTTTCCTCGCACTGAGTTTGAAGTGATAGCATTTAGTTCCCACCTGCTCCTGGGTATGGTTTAGGACTTTCTATTCCATTCATCTCTCTGGGCATACTTGCTCTACCCAATATACCCATCCATTTCCAGTATATAATACCTTTGGAATAGGAAAAAAGAGACTGACTTTCTTTTTTTTTTTTAATCCTCATCCGAGGATATTTTTCCATTTTTTGTACAGATAGAGTGGGAGGGAGAGAGAGGAAGGGAGAGAGAGTGAGAAACATCGACGTGAAGGGACACATCGAGTGGCTGTCACCTGCACGACCAACCAGGGCCGGGGACAAACTGCAACCGAAGTACGTGCCCTTAGCGGGAACCGAACCCGGGTCTCTCCGGACCACAGGCCGACGCTCTAACCGCTGAGCCAAACCGGCCAGGGCGAGACTGACTTTCTTTTTAAAGATTTTTAAAAATTGGTTTTTAAAGTGTTGGGGTGGGGGGGACATTGATGTGAGAGTGAAACATCGATTGGCTGTCTCCTACACAGCACCTACCTGAGATTGAGCCCCCAATCTGGAGATGTGCTGTGACCGAAAATGGAACCGGCAACCTTTCTGTGCATGGGACGACACCCAACCAACTGAGCCACACCGGCCAGGGCTAGAATAGATTTTAATGTCTGGCAATATTAGCTGCCCCCAAATTGCTCTTTTTATTGAGATTTTTTTCTTACCTGTCTTTAAAGCTCAACTCGTGGATTTCACCTTCTTTAAAGCTTATCTCTATCCTCCCCCCTCACACCAGGCTGGAAGCAATCTCTCCTTCCAAATGCTTGTGTTGCTTTTCAGGACTGCACTCTTTGTTTGCATTCTCTGTGTTGTTTTTAAGTAACGTGTATAGCTTGTAACCCATTCTGTCAGTGATTTTTAGGACAGAATCCACATATTCACCTGCACCTTGCTTAGCTCTGTGCCTGGGCTACTGTAGGCATCTGGGCACCTTGGCTCGCCTGGCAGTGGCTCTGCCCTGACCCTCTCTCCCTGCAGGCTACATTGGTGTGGTGAACCGAAGCCAGAAGGACATAGAGGGCAAGAAAGACATTCGTGCAGCACTGGGGGCCGAGAGGAAGTTCTTTCTCTCCCACCCAGCCTACCGGCACATGGCTGATCGCATGGGCACCCCACACCTGCAGAAGACTCTGAATCAGGTATGTCAGTGGTTTTGTGCAGTTGCACATGCTCAATCAAGTGTTAGGTAGTGATGGGGACCAGGAAGAGAGTGGGCACATAGCAGGAAGGCAGAGATAATAGCTCAAGTGAGCAAAAAGGGAAGGAAGTGTCTAAAGGAAGGGGCCCTCCAGGAAAGGAAGTGGGTCTGCCTGGGCAGAGGGCTGGAGGATCAGGAAGGGAAGTAAAACTACCCTGCAGGCTGCTGGGGCCTCCTGAGAGCCAGCAGTCCAGCTGGCCTCCTGAGGGCCTGGCTCTACATCAGATGCTTCCTGGGACTGTGGTTCCCTTGCCCCTCTGTCTTCCCATGAGTTACATGGAACTGTTCTAATGTTGTAGGATGCTGTCGGAGACCAGAGTGAGTGGTCTGCAGAGCATGTAGCTCACCCTTAGAGACCAGCCCCTCCCACAGAGGGGCCATGGGTAGGGCCCCTGGTCACAGATTCATGCTACAGAGTGTGATGCTCCTTCACCCCATGTGTTTAGCTTGATAGACATTTTGTAACTTCTTTTCTATTGTAGGACAGATGGAAACAAAATGCCACTTTTCACTTCTGGGGTGTTCGCTGATTTTATGGCTTTTGTTTGCCCTTCTCCCCAACCAGCCTCCCTTCCTTCCCCTCTTTTTTTTTTTTTTTTTTGAAAGTATAGGTGTTTTTATTTTTATTTATTTTTTTATTAATTAATTTTTGTTACAGATGTTTCTCCTTTTCCCCCCACTGATTCCCCCCTCCCCCTCCCTCCCTGCCCTGTCCCCAGTTTTGTTGTCCATCCTTCCTTCCCTTCTTCCCTGCCCTTCCTTTCTCTCTCTCTCTCTCTCTTTTATCTCTTGAATCCTCTCTCCCTTATAATAGTAAACCAGAAAAGAATGTTCCATTTCTTCCTATCCCATGAGGAGGTGGCCAGGCTCATCATTTCCTGGGCTTCCTTCTAGAGACACTCAGAGCCTAGAGGGCTAATGTGTTTGTCTCGCCCTCCTTCCTCCCTCCCTCCTTCCTTTCTTTACCTTCCCTTCCTTTTTTTCTTCTTTCTTTTTGCCACCTGAACAGTAAGATATTTACCCACTACTCTGTATCTGGCTTTTTCTCTGACAACATATCTTGAGACTCATCCCCTATACTTTTATGCACTGCTGCTTCCTTTTAAAATGTATGAATAATGAACAAATCCACATGATCCAAAAGTAGAATAGTAGAGAGAAAGAGGGCTGCAATGAAAGGTCCCCTTCCTGCCCACCTTTCTGCCCGTTTCTTTCACATTTGTTTCTTGTGAATCTTCCTTTTCTCTATTCCTGCAAATGAAAACATGTTCTTACTTTCTCCTTGTCTTTCTCAGAAGGGAGCACTTAATACATATGTTTCATACATTTTTTTGTAGGGCACATCCTTGTGTCTGTATATCTCTCCATTGTCCTGTCATCCACATATACTGTCTGTCACCCAGCCGTCGGTCATTCAGTCCATGGTCCTGTGGTGGCCTCCTGAGCTTTTCACTGAGCAGCACTTACGGGAGGCTGTTCTGGATTAGCACACGTGTCCTTGTACACTGTTGCGTGTGCTCCATGGTGTAGACACCCTGATTGATCTGTCCTACAAAGGCCCATGGGCTGTTCTCAGCTTCTTGTTCCATGCACAAGTGTGACTCCAGCTGATGTTCTGTTTCTTTCTCTTGAGCCTGAGGAGTGTTGTGGGCCCAGGCAACATCACAAATGACCTTTTTTTTTGCCTGCACTGACCTCTGACCTCTGGTCTCTCTGTTGCAGCAACTGACCAACCACATCAGGGAGTCACTGCCAACCTTGCGCAGCAAGCTGCAGAGCCAGCTGCTGTCCCTGGAAAAGGAGGTGGAGGAATACAAGAACTTCCGGCCTGACGACCCTACACGTAAAACCAAAGCCCTGCTGCAGTACGTGTGTCCTTCCCCAACCCCAAAACCCAGCTCACTGAGGCCTACACCCAGCCACAGGGTTCCAGATCTAGGCTGGGCACTGATCCTCATTCATCCATCTGTTCAGTCGACAAACATTTCCCAAGGGTCACCGCAGTGAATGGAGCAGACGCTCATTCCTGCCTCATGTGTTCAGAAGTGGGGAGAGATGAGACAAAATAAGTTAATAAAATGTATAGTGTGCAAAATGGTGAAGACATTAAAGTGGGGAAGGGAGCTAGAGAGTACCAGGGTGGCATGGTCTACCACTTAAAATAGAGTGGTGAAGAAGGCCTCTCTGAAATAGAGTCAGGAAAACACCTGGAGAAGTGAGAGAGGGAGCCACATAGAGCCCCGGATGGGTTCCAACCATTGTAAAGGCCCTGAGGCAGGACTATGTCCAGCATGGTGGAGGTCCATGTGGCTGAAGCAGAGTGAGTGAAGGAGAGTGGGAAGAGGTGGGGGTGGAGTGTGCAGGGCCTTTCAGACTATGAGAAGGACTTAGGCTCTTGCTCTGAGTATGGTGGGAGCCATTCTTGGTTCTGAGCGGACAATGGGCATAGGCTGATTCAGGTGCTCACAGGCGCCCTCTGGCTGTTGCAGGGAGGACAGACATGGAGTGGGGTGGGAGCTTGACACTGTGTTAGCTGTTTCTGGTTGGTCTCTCTGAATCCTTACCCTGACTCTTGAGTCCAGCTCAGAACCCTAGGAGACTTGCTGCAGCTGTGCAGCTGAGAGACAGGGGTGCAGGTGTGCCCTGCCATCTAGGTTCTCACTTGGGGCTCTTCCTGCCCCTGCACTCTCGGTTTCTGCCCTGCTAGGGACCCTAAGCGTTCTAAGAACTTGGCTAGAGTAGGTTCCAGAAACTACCTGTCAGCTCATGTGGCATGCACAAGACTCCTCCTATAGGCACACCAGAGGACACTCTCCCCATGGTCATCATAGGTCTGATGTCCCTCACCCTCTCGGCCATGCGGCAATGCATGGTGATGGGATCAGGATGAGATTACTTTTATGCTCAGACAAGCTTAACTGCATTCTGCAAAGCTTTCTACAGAGCAAACACTGATACTTTGTAGACTTGAAGAGAAGGTTTGATCTAGCATGTGCTGCAACCTGGAGGTAAGCCTGGGTCTGCTAGACCATGCCTCTAGGAACCTTGCATTCCTTGCCCCTAGATGAAAATGGCAGCAGCTGTCATCTCATGTGGCTTTTGTAGAACTTGTGGAAATGCTGCTTAATGCTGCTCTAGAAGCTCCTCAGGAGTGGGGCCAGGGTTTAGCACGTTAAGTCATTTTTCACCAGTGCCCTGCAGGGCCTGCAGCTGGTTTTGCCATCACTGTGGAGGTGCACTACTGTCATCTGCAGCCCCCCAGGAGGACTGGGTCTTTCTTTAGCATCTTATCCACAGGTCCCAGCTCCTCCTACGGGCTGCAGGCCACACAGACAAGCAGCGGCCCCTGCTCCTTCCTCTACCATTAATGGTAATCCCTTTGTGGTAACAGCTTGTTGCATGACTTCCTTCTCAGCCTTTATTATAAAAATGATGTAAAGAGACCAACTATGAAAACTTTCCCTCCTCTGCACCCTGGTCCCCATCATCAGGTTGTTGCCTTACATGAGAATAAGAACAGGGGGCTGCGCATCATTGAGAGTCTTCTATTTCTCGTGGCCACCTGACCTACCCTACAGGTTATCCTTGTGACCCAATACCCATAGGAGACATTTGGGTAATTTTTGCTTCATCAGATGCTTCTTAAATTCATCATTTGAGTACGCATGCAAGGATTTCTGCAGGGCATTCCTAAACATGGGGTGGCTAGGTTGAGGGACACTTAAGTTTGAATTGATATTACACAGTCTCCAGAGAGGTATTATTCGCACCCATGTCTGCAAGTCTGCAGGTCATGTACAGGCACATGCAGTATGTGGCTCATGGAAAGCCAGTGTCAGAAAAGCTGTTTTTACATTTATCACCATTGTTATGATCAGTTGTTCTGTATCTGCCCCCCTCCCCTGCACAGCTTCTACACTGCCTTTACCTGCCAGCTCCATCCTGTGATAAGCATGCACATCTTTTTTGTTGTTGCTAATTCTCACCCAAGGATATTTTTCCGTTGATATTTACTTATTTATTTATTTGTTTATTTTTTTATCCTCGCCCTAGGACATTTTTTGATATTTTGTTCAGATAGAGTGGGAGGGAGAAAGAGAGAGAGAAACATCGACGTGAAAGGGACACATCGAGTGGTCGCCACCCACACGACCCAACCAGGGCTGGGGACAAACTGCAACTGAGGTACGTGCCCTTAGCGGGAACTGAACCCAGGTCTCTCCAGACTGCAGGCCGACACTCTAACTGCTGAGCCAAACCGGCCAGGGCTCCGTTGATTTTTAGATAGAGAGGAAGAGAGAGAGAGAGAAACATCAATGTGAAAGAGACACATCGATTGGTTGCTTCCTGCACTACCCGACTGGGGCCAGGGTTTGAACCTGCAACTGAGGTACATGCCCTTGACTGGGAATTGAACCTGCAGTCCTTTGGTCCATGGGCCGATGCTCTAACCACTGAGCAAAACCAGCCAGGGCAATGCAGATTATTTTAAAGCCTCTGGCAGGTTCTTTACCCAGGCAGAGAGGATGGAGGCCTTTTTCACACTTGCTCTCCTTCCTCAGTTTTTGTGTTTTGCACCTGGATCTCTCCACTTCTAGAAATAGAAAGAAGAATGCCTGTTCTCTAGACATGCAACTGGGGCTGTCTACTCACAACCACTTGTCTCTGATGACTGCTGGTCATCTGCAGATGTCTCATCTGCTCTGGACATTGCTGTATTCATTTACTGTGGTTGCTTTGACAAAAGACCACTAACTGGGTGGCTTAAACCGTAGAAATTTATTGTCTCACAGTTCTGGATGCCAAGTGTTCGATATCAAGGGTCAGAAGGATTAGTTCCTTCTGGGGTGTTTTGGTGGTTTGCTAGCAGTCTTTGGGGTTCCCACTTTCTGCCTTCATCTTCACATGGCTTCTCCCTATTCATATCCAACCTTCCCCTTTTTCTAAGGACACTCACTAGTTGCACTGGCTTAGGGGCCCACCCTACGGTGTAACTTTATCTTAACTTATTACATCTGGAATGACTCTGTTTCCCAGTAAGGTTACATTCGGAGGTACTGTGGGTTAGGACATCAACATGATATGTGGGGGTCACAGTTCAAGTCGTAACAATTGATAAGGGTGCTTTGTGAGTTCAACTTGACCTCCAGGGCCCCTGGGAGATTGATACTTTTTTTTTTTTTAATCCTCATCCGAGGACATTTTTCCATTTTTTGTACAGACAGAGTGGGAGGGAGAAAGAGGAAGAGAGAGAGAAACATCGACGTGAAAGGGACACATCGAGTGGCTGCCACCCACACGACCATCCAGGGCCGGGGACAAACTGCAACTGAGGTACATGCCCTTAGCGGGAACCGAATCCGGGTCTCTCCGGACCGCAGGTGGACGCTCTAACCGCTGAGCCAAACCGGCCAGGGCGGGAGATTGATACTTACAGGTGCTATATCTTTTCCCTTCTGAGGCTGGTGGCAGGTGGCTGGAGTCTCCATCCTGGCCCTGAATCACTCTGCTGCTCTTACAGTGTTACTATGCCTTTTACGATCTTGGCCTTGGGGTTTGGCTCACCATTCAAGGTCTGCACTCTGTGTGTGGCATGAACATAGGCCTTTTTGTGTGTGTCTCTGGGAAGGAAATCCAGTATGCACACCATCTGCTTAATGTGGGCAGAGAGTGTCTCGGGATCTGGGACACTGTGCCGCATGCCCCTGTCATCCCAGCTGTGGAAGGACAACCCTCTTCATCATGGCCAGCCCTGCAGTACCCTGGTATCTCCTGTATTTGTTCATAAGAGCTGGACTTCTCTCTGCTATAGCACTTTGGGCTCCCTACTACAGGCACAGGGTGGGAAACTCCACACAATACATGCATACCTTGTTTTATTTCATTTTGCAGGTACTGCATTTTTTACAAATTAAGGTTTGTGGCACCCCTGTGTCTTGCAAGTCTATCAGTACCATTTTTCCAATAGGCTCAGATGATGATTAGCATTTTTTAGCAATGAAGTTTTATTTTTGTTTTTGTTAATCCTCACTTGACATTTTCCCATTGATTTTTAGATAGAATGGAAGGGAGGGAGGGAGGGAGGGAGAGAAAAACACCAATGTGAGACACATTGATTGATTGCCTCCCACATGCCCCTGACTGGGACCGGGGATGGAACCTGCAACCCAGGTATGTGCACTTGACCAGGAATTGAACCCTTAGGTCGGAGGGCCAAAGCTCTAATCGCTAAGCCAAACCAGCCAGGGCTAAAGTTTTGTTTTTGTTCTTTAATCCTCACCTGAGGGTATGTTTTTATTGATATTTTAGAGACAGAAGAAGGGGGAGAGATGGGGAGAGGTGGAGAAAGGGAGGGAGAGAGAGAGAAAGAAAGAAACAAAGAAAAACAACGAAGGAAGAAGATAAATGTGAGAGAGAATCATTGATCAGTTGTCTCCTGTACGTGCCCTTGAAACCTAGGTATGTGCCCTTTTGTTGTAAAAATTATCCTTATTTTTTTTATTCTCTCTGTCTCTTTTTTTTTTTTTTTTTTGCATTTATCTTGAGATAGAGTGGGAGGAAGAAGGGGAGAGAGAAAGAGAGAGAGAGAGAGAGAGAGAGAGAGAAAGAAACATCGACGTGAGAGAGACTTATCGAGTGGTTGCCACCCACACGACCCCAACTGGGACCGGGAACAAACTGCAACTGAGGTACATGCCCTTAGTGGGAACCGAACCCAAGCCTCTCTGGTCTGCGGGCCAATGCTCTAACGCTGAGCCAAACCAGCCAGGGCAAGGCATGTACATTTTTTCTTTTTAAACATAATGCTATTGGAACTCTTAATAGATTGCAGTAGAGTGTAAAAATAACTTATATGCACACAGAAAATCATCACTAGCTTTATTGTGATATTTGCTTTATTGTGGTGGTCTGGAATCGAACCTGCAGTATCTCCAAGGTTTGCCTGCACTTGAATAGAGCTAGAATTCTGGGGGCAGAAATGAGGAAATGATTAAGGCAGACAGTACCGGGCACTGGGGGAAGCAATGAGACATGCTAAGGTAAACCAAGACACTAGTGAGTATCTTAGATCTTCTTTTCTGCTCACCTTGTCACAGTGTTAATTAGCAACATTTAGACACTTTGTGAGGGCTGGGCTGGGTTCTAAGGGTCCACTCATGGTATCACATTTTGTCAGTTATGTGACATTTTGACTTCTCTGAATTCAGAAGTTTTAGGTGAATTACCATGAATTGACAGCATTGTGTGTGTGTGTGTGTGTGTGTGTGTGTGTGTGTGTAAACTAATGGTGCATTTTAGGATCAATGACTTCTTAGAGTTGATGAAATCTAAAAACTCCCTGAATCCTCACATTGACCTTCTGTGGAGGTGCTAGTACAATCAACCCACTTTGCAAATGAAGAAACTGAGATTCGGAGGATCGAAGCCATCCCTTCAAGGCCTCAGCCTGTAGTGATGGGGTACTAACCCAAATGTGCTGGAAGGTGGTGGAAACCAGAGGAAGCCACCTGAACGGTGTGGAGTGACTATCTTTTCACTCTATGGTCCTGTTGAATTAAGCCAAGCTTCAGGGCAGAGGTGAAGTTGCTAAGCTGTGACTCCTGAACTTCACTCTTGTTATCTGCAAAGTGGAGTAGTATCTGGACCTCCTTTAGTTCAGCGAATGATCATCATGGGCCTGTAGAGTGGGCCTGGCATGCAGTGACTGCTTGCCACCTACAGCTCCTGAATTTTGTTTATTTGTTTTGACCTACACATAGATTTTGCTGCTAAAAAATGAAAAGAGGCCCAGCCATGTGGCGCAGTAGTTGAGCGTTGACCCATGAACCAAGAGATCACCAGTTCGATTCCTGGTCAGGGCACTTGCCCAGGTTGTGGGCCAGATCCCCAGTGGGAGGCATGCAGGAGGTGGCCAGTCGATGTTCTCTTTCATCGATGTTTCTGTCTCTCTCTCCCTCTCCCTTTCTCTCTCTCTAAAAGTCAATAAAGAAAAAAAAAGTTAAAAAAGAAGAAAAGAGGAGCTCTGGCCAGTTTGGCTCAACGATTAGAGTGTTTGCCCATGAACTGAAGGGTTGTGGGTTCAATTTCTGGTCAAGGGCATGTACCTGGGTTGTAAGTTTGAGCGCCAGCCTCAGTCAGGGTTGTGTGGGAGCAGCAACCAATTGATGTGTCTCTTTCAGGTCAATGTTTCTTTCTCTCTCTCTCCCTCATCCTCCCTCCCTCCCTTCCACTCTATCTAAAAATCAATAGGAAAATATCCATCCTTTGGTGAGGATTAGCAAAAAAAAAAAAAAGGAAAGGAAAGGAAACTGAACCATAGCTTGACTCAGGACATAACACTGGAGCTTTGTTGAAATCTCCACTTAATGTTTGGGTTTTCCTTTTCCTCTTAGGATGGTACAGCAGTTTGGTGTGGACTTCGAAAAGAGAATTGAGGGCTCTGGAGACCAAGTGGACACGCTGGAACTCTCTGGGGGCGCCCGAATCAATCGCATCTTCCATGAGCGGTTTCCTTTTGAGCTGGTGAAGGTAGTGTGGCCAGGGCTGGGCCCTTCTGTCCCTGGTCAGGCACCTATCTGCTAGGTCTCGAGCTCAGCCTCCTTCTAGAGCTCAAGGTCTTGGACTCTGGCCTTCACGTCTGATCCTACTCTGGGCAGAGTGTGGCCTGGGCAAGGTGTCCTCCACGGGTTTCCTTCCCTGAGCAGGCAGCTTACAGCTATATGGCAGAGCTATACAAAAAAACTCACCATCTCCCAGCTGGTGTGGCTCAATGGTTGAGCATCGACCCATGCACCAGGAGGTCACCAGTTTGATTCCCGGTCAGGGCACATGCCCAGGTTGTGGATCCAATCCCCAGCGAGGGACATGCAGGAGTCATGTTCTCTCTCATCAGTGTTTTTGTCTATCTCTCCCTCTCCTTTCCTCTCTCTCTAAAAATCAATAAAGAAGAAGAAGAAAAAAAACAATGTAAATGTATTTAAAAAAAAACAAAAACCCCACCTTCAACCTGGGTAGGTGCCCCGACCAGTAATTGAAACCACCACCTTTTGCTTTTTGAGATGATCCTCCATCCAACTGACCCACACCGGGTGTAAAAAATTGGCTTGAACTTTTACTTTTTATTTTACTTATTTTTATGTAAACCATTGAAGTCTTTTTCAATTAAAGATCAAAAACTAAGGCAGGAAAACTCCCATAATCCTAATACCCACAGACAACTACTATTAGACCTGGATTTGTGTCCTTTAAGAATTATTTCCAGCCCAACTGGTGTGATTGAGCATCGACCCATACACCAAGAGGCTGCCCGTTCAGTTCCCCGTCAGGGCACATGCCCAGGTTGTGGGCCCAATCCCCAGTGCGGGGCATGCAGGAGGTAGCTGATTGATATTCTCTGTCATCAATGTCTCTCTCCCTCTTCCCTTCTCTTTCTCTAAAATCAATGAAGAAAAAAAAAAGAATTATTTCTTTCTTATCCTCACCCGAGGACATTTTTGTATTTATCTTCAGATAGAGCTAGAAGAAGAGAGGGAAGGAGAGAGAGAAACATCAAGTACTTGCCACCCACATGATCCCAACCAGGGTTGGGGACAAACTGCAATGGAGGTACGTGCCTTTAGCAGAAATGGAACCTGGGACTCTAGTCCATGGGCTGACGCTCTAATAGCTAAGTCAAACCGGCCAGGGCTCTTTTTTTTTTTTTTTTTTTCTTTATTGATTTTAGAGAGAGAGGAAAGGAGAGGGAGAGAGAGACAGAAACATTGATGAGAGAGAACATCGATTGGCCGTCTCCTGCATGCCCCCCACTGGAGATTGGGCCCACAACCTGGGCATGTGCCCTGACTGGGAATCGCACTGGCAACCTCTTGGTGCATGGGTCGATGCTTAACCACTGAACCATACCGGCTGGGCAGAAAAAAAAAAAAGAATTATTTTTAGTGCAAATATAAAGCCTCCCTTGTGCTCACTTCAGCAGCACATATACTAAAATTGGACTGATACAGAGAAGATTAGTATGGCCCCCTGCGCAAGAATGACACGAAGATTCGGGAAGCATTTCATAGTTATTTATTTATTTATATTTATTTATTTATTTATTTTTTATCCTCACCCGAGGACATTTTTCCATTTTTTGTTCAGGTAGAGTGGGAGGGAGAGAGAGAGAGAAACATCGATGTGAAAAGAACACATCAAGTGGCTGCCACCCGCACAACCAACCAGGGCCGGGGACAAACTGCAACTGAGGTACGCGCCCTTAGTGGGAACCGAACCCGGGTCTCTCAGGACCTCAGGCCGACGCTCTAACCGCTGAACTAAACTGGCCAGGGCCATTTCATAGTTTTTTAAAAAGCCCCCCTTGAATACACAAACATGGCACATAGATTCATCCATATTTGTGTGCACATATATATTATTTTTTAAAATTATGTCTTTATACCCTGCTTTTTTCATGTGATGGTCATCTTTCAAAACTAGTCATAAACATTTCATGCATTGTCAATGACAAAAGAATATATTATTTTATGTATGTCCCATCATGTATTTAATCAGTTTTCCTTTATTGGACATTTAGTTTTTTCTTTTTCACATTTTTCAACAGTTATAAATAGTTCTGTAAATGTAGTTAGTTCTTTATTTATTCCTCAAGATTGATTTCTAGAGCATTTAAATACACCAGGTGGCAGAATAGTTATATTTTTGGAGGTTTTTGATCTGTACTGCAAATAGCTCATAAAAAAGTTTATTATATGAATTCATGTTTCCTCTAAGAGAGCAAGAGTTAGTTTCACAGCATCCTTGCTGATACTAGGTTTTAATATTTTTAAATTTTTTGACCAATTTAATATTCTGCCATGTGAATACAAATGCACACAGGAAACAACATGCCCCAAATAAACACCTGTTCTGAGGGTGCCCAGGTACGTCCTTGCACGCATTTGGTTTCTCTGTTTTCAGATGGAGTTCGATGAAAAGGACTTAAGACGGGAGATCAGCTATGCCATTAAGAACATTCATGGTGTCAGGCAAGTTCCACAGGGAGTGTCGCCATTGTTCCCTTTACTCTTGTGGTGCCACCCTCCAACCATTTGGTTTCCCCAAACTTCTCAGTGCCCTGATCGTGAGGTCTTGACAGGGTTCCTGGGTGGTTCTCTCTTCAAGGGTACTCAAGGGTAGATGGGTTCAGTCCTGTGTGAGTATGTCATGGGTCACAGGGCTGTCTGCTGCCCTTGGATTAAACATTGGTTAAAACCCCCAGTCGTTTGACATGAGCCTTAGCTACTATGGTCATGCAAGAAAGCTCACTGCATATTTGCCCTGGGTGGTGGGGGTGGGGAGCCAGATCTGAGTCATAATTACAGGAACCCAAGTATTTGAATGCATCACGGATTTCCTTTGAGCCCCCTGGGTCCCCTTTGTATTCCAGCATAAGTAGTCCCTCCAACCATCCAATCTCACATCACCATGGGGGTCTCAGGTTGCCCTGGGGGTTTCCAGGTAGTGGACATAGGCGTCTGACCCCCAGACATGCCATGACCTTGGGAACCCGGCCCATGCCTGTAAGATTGCTGACCATGCTTTGTTTCTCTCTGACTTATCTCCCTTGCCCCGGGTTTGGATGGTTTTAGGACCGGGCTCTTCACCCCGGACCTGGCATTCGAGGCCATTGTGAAAAAGCAGGTCGTCAAGCTGAAAGAGCCCTGTCTGAAATGTGTCGACCTGGTTATCCAGGAGCTAATCAATACAGTTAGGCAGTGTACCAGTAAGGTATTGGCCCCTCGGCAGGGGACTCCTGGCCGTGTGGAAACGGGGGTTCAGGGCTTTGGTATCAGGCTCCCAAGTGCTGCTTCAGCCTGTGCCCGGAGGTGCCTTCCTCCTGCCCCAGATTGCCTCTGTTTCCATGAATGTGGCATCTTCTTAGAAGCTGGGGCAGGGTCATGTCAGCCTGGGTACAGCTGGGTTGGGGAGGGGTGTCAGGCCTCCAAAACTAGCCAGACTGGTGGGCAGGGCTCCCTGGGACCCTGATACCAAGCCTAGCATGTGAATTGGGGTTGTCATTGGGCTGTCGCTTTGCTGCCTTCTGGGAAACAGAGGGACCCCGCGTCAGCTGCTGGAGGCCAAGCTCCCTGAACCTCCCTGGCTGCCACTCCTTGAGTGACACTCTTGGGTTTACCTGGATCTATTCACATCCCTGTCCCCAAGGTGCCAAGAAAGGTCTAAATGCCAATGTATATAATGAGTGCTCAGGTCCCAAAGTCGGCTCAGCTCCTAACTGCCTCATCTAGTTCCCTTGCTCCCCTCAGGAGCAGTGCCGTTCCCCCAGGCAGCTGGTCCTCAGATCCACTAGGTCACAAGTGCCTGTGTGCCTAGGCTACTGCCTACCCCCAGCACAATGTGCTGGGTTCCCCCGAGGGCCTGGTTCCCAGGGCAGCATACTTTGGCCGAGCAGCTGAAGCACTTCCAGTTTGTGCTTGCACGTCCACGATGGCCACAGAGCTCTGGGTCGGCCTTCCTAGGCAGAGGATTTGTGCTTGGGCCTTCTGTTCTCAGTCTGGAAAAGCCCACATTTGCTTCTTAAGCTTCTTCGATTGGAAAAGGGAGAAGAAAAACCCAGATGGGTTGGAGATTATCATCCTGGAGCCTGTTCTCACAGATAATGAAAACTAAAAGCATCCTCACACCCTTAGCTGTCTGAGCAATGACACTGACCCCTAGCACTTCTATAATTAAACCTAGACCAAGTCACCCCTGGGACCCAGGATGCCTCTTTGATCCGAAGCAGCTTCCGGGGCAAATGCGGGCACAGGCTCCTCCATGCATGTCACTAACCAGCTGACTCTCGTTTCTCTCTCTCTCTCGCCTATCCTGGGTGTGTGGCCTGCACTGTCCCTGGGTGTCTTTCTACTGGTCCTACCCTTCGCATGACCCAGGACGGGGCTCTTCACCCCTGATATGGCCTTTGAAGCCATAGTGAAAAAACAGATTGTAAAACTCAAAGAGCCAAGTTTGAAGTGTGTTGATCTCGTGGTCTCAGAACTGGCCACAGTCATTAAAAAGTGTGCTGAGAAGGTAACAGAAGGTTTTGTTATTATCACCTATGCATTTCTCCCTCATCTTCTCCCTCTGTTGTTAATGTTAACCCACGCATCTGGGAGACTCTGCCTTGGATGGACCTCCTCTCCATGGGCCAGTTGTCATTTAATGAACAACATCTCAACGTTGCATTGGCAGATAAAGTGGGGCGAGTTGCATTGCATGTGTGTTCCACTTTTGCAGTTTGGGCTAAGAAGGGGCTGGTGGGTCATTGATGTTGCCAAAAACATTTACTCAGCAGGCATTGGTGATGAGTCGATACCCGTTCCCGGGACCCTGAGAGAAAGGGGGTTTCCAAACTGTCACCAAAGCAGTAAAACATGCAGTGTGCAGACCTTGGTGTTCTTATATCATGAGACATTTACTAGGTTTACATCAAGTGATTTTGAGTGTCCACTCAATTTTCTTCAACTTGTGAGCTTAACCCAAACTGTGGAAGATGGGCTGTTCATGTGTTTGATTTGGTTACTGCTGCAAAGGCTAGGAGTGGATTCCAGAGATGCGATGATGAGGAACAGTTTTCCAAAAGGGGTCCCTCCGAGTTAGATGGCCCAGATGCTAACCCACTATCTTAGAACAGTTGCTATGCGCTCATTAGCTGGGCCAGGACACCTGCCCCAGTGACCAGCAGCTTTAATCACAGTCAGTGTCTTCATTCTCACCCAGTCCTGGGCGGGAGGGGGATGGCTGTCACCCACTTTCTCTGCCACTTTTCACCTCTACATTTCATTCTCGAAAAGTATCTTTGCTTGTGCATGGGGACCCTGTCACTCTCTCCGGCCCACTGTTCCCCCACTGTCCCCTTGTCTCCCAGCTGGAGCAGCTAGGAGACAGGAGTGGGGTGGGGGCTCAGTGGGCCCACCCCACGTCACCCACCTTCCTCCATGTTTTCTGTGTAGTTTGTATGGCTTCTCATACCATGAAGATCCAGCCAACACTATCACTCTGCTTCCCCCCAGCTCAGCTCCTACCCCCGGTTGAGAGAGGAGACAGAGCGAATTGTCACCACTTACATCCGCGAACGGGAGGGGAGAACCAAGGACCAGGTATTGGCTTTTTGTTATAGATGTCTCTCCTTTTTCTCCAGTTGACACCCTCCTCCCGTTCCCACCCCCCTCCTTTGAGGTTTGTTAGTCCATAGCCTACTTCTATGTCTCTGGGTCTATTTTGTTCAGTTTAAGTGAGATCATGTGATATTTGTCTTTCTCTGGTTGGCTTATTTCACTTAGCATAATACTCTGCAGGTCCCTCTATGTCGTCTCAAAGGATAAGAGATCTTTCTTTCTTGCAGCTGTATAGTATTCCATTGTATATATGTACCAAAGTTTTTTTATCCACTCATCTATTTTTTTTTTTAATCCTCATCTGAGGACATTTTTCCATTTTTTGTTCAGATAGAGTGGGAGGGAGGGAGGGAGAGAGAGAGAGAGAGAGAGAGAGAGAGAGAAACATCGACGTGAAAGGGACACATAGAGTGGTTGCCACCCGCACGACCCAACCAGGGCTGGGGACATACTGCAACTGAGGTATGTGCCCTCAGCGGGAACCGAGCCTGGGTCTCTCTGGACCGCAAGCCGACGCTCTAACTGCTGAGCCAAACCAGCTAGGGCTATCCACTCATCTATTGATGGACACTTGGGCTTTTTTCAGATCTTAGCAATTGTAAATAGCACTGCTATAAACAGGGGTACATATAATCTTTCTGAATGGTGTTTCAGGCTTCTTAGGATATATTCTTAGAAGTGGGATCACTGGGTCAAATGGTAGTACCAGGCTGTTTTGATTACAAGGACTTTGTGGTATATCCTGATATCCAGTATTGTGATCCCTCCTACTTTTCAAGATTGCTGTGGCTGTTCGGGGTCTTTTTTGGTTTCATATAAACTTTTGGGCTATTTATTCTAGTTTTGTGAAGTATGTCATTGGTATTTTAATGGGGATTGTATGGAATCTACAGATTGCTTTGGGTAGTATGAACATTTTAATGATGTTAATTCTTCCAATCATGAACAAGGTATATGCTTATACTTTTTTATATCTTCCTCTGTTTCTTTTTTCAATGTCCTGTAGTTTTCTGCGAATAGGTCCTTCTTTGGTTAAGTTTATTTCTAGGTATCTTAGTTTTTTTGCTGCAATGGTAAATGGGATTTTTTTTTTTTTTAGTTTCTCTTTTTGTGAGTTCATTATTGGAGTATAAGAATGCTGTCGATTTCTTGATGTTAATTTTGTATCCTGCTATTTTGCCAAATTCATTTATTAAATCTAGTAGATTTTTTAGTCTAATCTTGAGTGTATAGTTCTTTGAGTTTTTTTTATTAATTTATTTTTGTTACAGGTGTTTCTCCTTTTTTCCCCATTGACACCCCCCACCTCATCCCCAGCTTTGTTGTCCATGTCCATTGGTTATGCGTACATGCATATAAGTTCTTTGGTTTATCTCTCCCCCCCCACCCCTAGTTCTTTGAGTTTTGACAAATATATACAGTAACCCCCACCTCAGTCAAAATATAGAACGGTTCTATCACCCCCCCCAAATTCTCATCCTTTGCCCCTTGTCGTCAATCCCTCCGTGACCCCCAGGCCCTGGCAGTCACTTGGCTTCTCCCTATACCTATGGTTTTGCCCTTTTTTTTCCAGAATGTTCTGTGAATGGTCTCCTGTACTACATAGCTTTTTGATTCTGACCTCCTTCTTTCAGCATGTTATATTTAGGATTCATCCTTGTTGTTTGTGGTATATCTGAAGTTTGTTACTTTTATTTAAATCCTCACATGAAGATATTTTTTTTAAATATGTTTTTATTGATTATTTTAGAGAGAGAGGAAGGGAGAGAAAGATAGAAACATCAATGTGAGAGAGAAACATCAATTGGCTGTCTCCTGCATGCCCCTCCACTGGGGATCAAGCCCAAAACCTGGGCATATGCCCTGACCGGGATTCGAACAGGGACGTCTCAGTTCATGGGATGACACTCAATTCACTAAGCCACACTGGCTGGGCTGGAAAAAAAAAAAAAAAAATATATAAATATATATATATATAATTTTTCTTTATTTATAGAGACAGGAAGTGGAGGGAGGGAGGGGGAGAGAGAGAGAGAGAGAGAGAGAGAGAGAGAGAGAGAGAGAGAGAGAAAGAGAAGCATTTATTTGGAGAAACATTGATCAGTTGTCTCCCATACATGCTCTGACCAGGGATTGAACCTGTAACTTAGGTATGTGCCCTGACCGGGAATTGAACCCACAACCCTTTGGTGTACGAGACAACGCTCCAGCCATCCGAGCCATCCAGCCAGGGCTGAAGTTTCTTACTTTTGATCACTGAATGTATGGATCACAGCTTGTTTATCTATTTGCCTGCCAGATGACATTACAGTGCTTTTGTGTTTAAATTTTCCTGTGAAGGCCATGCAAGCACACACAATGGTAAAGTGGGACTCTTCCAAGTAGTCACAGTGGGAGTCTGACCTGTCCCCTGCTGAGTGTGCCCAGGGCCTTCATTCCTCCTTCATATGCCCCAACACCTGGTCTGAGTCACTTTCCCTCAGTTGTCTGCTGTGGTCTCTTGGCAGCTGTTTGTTTAAACCAGAACTGAAACAAGCTGATATGTTGTATTTGGTTGTCATATCATGTTTATTTTTGTTTTGTTTATTTATCCTCACTCGAGGATATCTTTCCACTGATTTTTAGATAGAGTAGAAGGGAGGGAGGGAGGGAGGGAGAGAAACATCAATATGAGAGAGACACATTGATTGGTTGCCTCCCACCCGCACCTTGACTGGGGCTGGGGATCGAACCTGCAATCCAGATTTGTGCCTTTGATCAGAATCAAACCCAGGACCCTTTGGACTGTGGGCCGACGTTCTAACCACTGAGCCAAACAGGCTAGGGCATAATATCACCTGTTCAGAATGGTTCTTCTCCCTCTGATATTGATGGAGAAGAAACTGGCTCTTTTGTCCTTCAAAGAATCCCCAGTCAATCTAGAAGCTGTGTCAAAAGCTTGAGAGATTCCCATTTGTTTTGTTGTCATTGTTAGTGGTTCTGCTGTTCCTTTCATACACACCACAGCCCCTGGTTGCCTCTCTATCAACACCCCTAGGCTTGATCCACTGGCTCTGGGATTGGGATTTAGACTTTATAAAACCAGTGAAAGTGGATCCCGAGCACCTCAGCATTTTCCAACAACCCCATAAGGTCTGACCTAGTGCCTGGCCTGTTTTATACTTGAGGGCTTGCAAGTATAGGTGATAGGAAGGCAGGGTACTGTTTAAGGACCTATCCCTTATCTTTGATGATATCCTAACTGGCTCCTGTGTGCGTGAGTGTGTGTGTGTGTGTGTTTGATTTTAGTGTCTTCACCTGTCCATATTATCTTTGCTGTTTAAATATAGCACTTATGAAATGCCTGGTGCTAGCTAAAGACTTTACATATTGTGAATTATTTAACCCTTTGAAGTGGGCCTCTCATGCCTCTATTCCACAACTTAGTAACATGGGGCCCAGGGTCACACAGCTGGACAGTGGCTGAGCCAAGTCTGCAGACCAGGTGGTCAGCTGCAGAGGCTGTGCCCTTGACCACTGCGCTGGGCTGCCTTGCTCAGCTCTGTTGGCTCAGTCTTACTTAGTTGTCAGTCCCTGAAGTCTGGAGGCACTTGTGTTTCCTTCCCCCTGCAGATGTACCCCGGGGTATATTTTGGGGGACAGGTGTGTGTGTGGCCCTTGTTCTCCTGTCTGAAAAGCATCAGGGTTCTGCACCCCCATCCCACCCCCCACGTGAAAAGTGCTCTAGTCACTGCCCCTCCCTGCCGTACTGTGGTCTATACAGATGCTCCTCAGCTTACAATGAGTTTATCAGGATGTAACCTCATCGTTACATCCTGATAACCTCATCATAAGTTGAAAATACAGTAAGCTGAAAATGCATTTAATACACCTAACCTATCAAACATCATAGCTTAATGTGTTCAGAACACTCACATCGGCCTACTTGGGCAAACTCATCTAATACAGTGAATACACTATAGAGTATCAATTGTTGACCTTCATGACCCTGTGGCTGACTGGGAACTACAGCTTGCTGCCCAGATTCACGAGAGGGTATTGTATCATATATCACTAGCCCGGGAAAAGATCAAAATCAAAATTCAAAGTACAGTTTCTACTGAATACTTATCTTTTTCACACTTAGAAAGTCGGAAAATCATAAATCAAACCATTGTAAGTTGGGAACCATTTGTATTCACAGTGACCCCTGCTTTCCCCTAGATTCTTCTTCTCATCGACATCGAGCAGTCTTACATCAACACGAACCATGAGGACTTCATCGGATTTGCCAAGTATGTACTGTTCGGTACAGCGGCTGAAGGGGTGGCACCAGTCCACTCTCGGTTGGGATCCCTCTGTGAGCTGGGCACGAGGGTCTCTCTATCAGGGTTCCTGGGATGACAGGATCTGGAAGGTTACCTGGACTGGTAGCAGCCCCATATCCATGTCTTCACTGCATCTTCTATGGGGGCACCAGTTTAAGGAAGAAAGTGCAGCCCTGGCTGGTTTGGCTCAGCGGCTGGAGCGTTGGCCTGTGGACCAGAGAGTCCTGGGTTTGGTTCCCGCTAGGGGCACGTAGCAAAAAAAAGAAAAAGAAGAAAGTGCAGTCCTGGGGTCAGACTCATGAGGAAAGGACAAGGCTAGCTAGTGTCCAATGATTCCTTTTCTGAGGTACTTCTCAGAGCCTTTCATGGGGTCAGAGCTGCCCAGGATCACATGGCTTCCATTTCTACACTATAGATTTAAAACCAGAACCTTCCATGGAACCCAGTTAAGGGGCCAGAACGGGGAGCTCTGATTTCAGTAAGATGTAGATATAAATACTGGTGGTCTAAGGCATCTCCCACTGATCCCATCAGCTCCTGCTCCTCCTCAGTGAGCTTGGCATCACATGGATTGTTCTGGTGGTTCACAAAGGTTTTCTTGCGTGAGCCCAATAGAATAACAGACCACTGGTAGCCAACTCCCTTGTATCATTTAGCAAATATTGCTGGTGTGCCCTCTCTGTGCCAGGGACTGGCATGCACCTGGACAGTTAAGATACAGTGTGGTCAGTGCCAGGGCAGGGACTGTAAGGCTCATGGGAGTCTAGAGGGCAGCCTCTGGCATGGCCTTGATATAGGGATGTATCTTTTTTTTTTTTTTTTTTAAATCCTCACCCGAGGACATTTTTCCATTTTTTGTTCAGATAGAGTGGGGAGGGAGAGAGAGAGAGAGGGAGAGAGAGAGAGAGGAAGAGAGAGAGAGAAACATCGACGTGAAAGGGACACATCAAGTGGCCGCCACCCGCACGACCAACCAGGGCCGGGGACAAACTGCAACCGAGGTACATGCCCTTAGCGGGAACCGAACCCGGGTCTCTCTGGACCGCAGGCCGACGCTCTACCGCTGAGCCAAACTGGCCAGGGCTAGGGATGTATCTTTGAGGAGGAGCCTGCGAGAGCCCAATCTTGGGCTAGCTAGCTACAGCAAGAGGGTCTTTCTGTCAGGGGTCTCTGCTGGGCTGAGAGGTAGAACATTTATCAGTGCATTCAACATAGTTGATTGAGCAGCTGTTCTGTGGTGGGCACATGGTAGGTGAGTAGAATGAATGAATAAGGGCACGATCAGAAACTTCAGGCCCCAGCTGGGCTGGCTGCCCCTTCTAGGGGTGGGCTGGGTGGCACAGGCCATGAACCACCCCTCCTGTTCCTGTCCCCAGCAGCCAGTTGTATGTGGGCTGAAAACACTGGTCCCTACTTTTCAGTTTGCTGCTGTTTTTCTCACCTTGATGTCTCTGCTTCTCACACTTCATCCACAGTTCCTTCTCACAATCTCTCCTGTTTTTCCTTTGACCACTCCACTCTTTCCTCTGGATTCCTGCGCCTTCCCACCTCCCCCAGCTGTTACTATACTGAGCAGCTGGTGACCTGGTGGGTATTGCCTGCTGTGTGCCTTTTTCCTGTGTGTGAACAGCTGGGGGCGGGGTCCAGGGCACCAGGCTCTGCCCAGCCCAGGTATAAACCAGGGCACCAGCTCTGGGTGAGATATCCCAGGGTCCCACTGAACAGCCATGGAGCACTGTCTCAGAGCCTTTGGACTAAGACAGTGAACAAGCCAGACTTGGGCCCTGCCCCTTCAGAGCCCACAGGCTGAGGACACATTGTCATTGAGCACATTGTCACAGGAAAAATGAGAGTTGGAAAGGAGGGTAGGTGAGGGGTTGTGGGAAAGGGGAACAAGGGATGTGTCCTGGAGAGACCTTCCTGAGGAAGGCTCACAGCTAGGTGACAGGCAGGGTACCCAGACAGCATTAGAGACAGGGAAGAAAGGCCAAGACACCAGGAGCATGGGGAGACCAAAGCAAGGGAGAGGTGAGAGGCTAGGCCCCATCACCAAGAGGGTCCTGCAGGCCCAGGGAGGGACTTTGGACTCCCACAAGGCAGTGGAAAATCTCCAGTTAGGTGCAAGCAGGGACAGGTGCAGCCATGTAGGCTGCCAGGTAAAGGGGGAAGCCAGGAAACCCTTAGGAAGTAGCAAAATCTCTCTGGCACCCAGGCCTTGCCATGCATGGCTTAGGTTGGTCCTGTCTTCAGACTCTTTTGATCAAACATCTTCCTTTGCTTAGATGTTCTGGGCTGCTTTCCCACTGCCCTCTAAACACTAAAATAGCCCAAAGAAACCGCCCTATAATAAACTCATTGAACATTAGGAAAATTATTGGATAAAATTCTGCCCTCATTCTTAATGTTTCAACTTTTACTGATGAAGGAACAGAAACTTATTCCCTTGTATTTGTGTACACACACACACACACACTCAATTTATTCAACAGCCAACTTGAACTTTAAGGTAAAACCCCAGAGGCTGTGAGTAAAAGAAAGTTTCAGCTAAAACAATACGATAAGAATATATGACATTAGGACAAACAAATGAGCTAAGTAGGTGCCCACATACAAGATATGTGGCCTTCATCTACACTCATTGTTTCCTGGAACAAACTAGCCAGGAAACAGGATAGATGGAGAACAAAAGAGATCTGGGACTGTAGATAAATAAAGGACCTTGTAGAAACATGCCCTGTTGACCTTGACTATCCTCTGGTTTGGGGCAGGAGCCATCTGAGATGAGTGACATTTATTGATGAATAGCTGTCCCACATTCTGATCTCCCAGGTCTGACAACGCCATGGTGCTGGAGTTAGGGGTAAGAATTGAGAGCGAAAGGAAGCCTCAAGATTTTGATCCCTGACAGCCTGGCACTCAGGTTGCCCTGAAGAAACCATGGCTAACTTTCAGTTACCTGGGAATCCAGCTTCTCATGCCCATTCTTGGAGGCTCCAGTACCCAGTGACTTCCGGACATAACTAGTGCTCTTAGGAGTGGCAGAGATCAGGGTCTAAAAGCCTTGGTTTAACTCCATACATTTTCAATCGGTCCACAAACCTGAGCTCTTTGCCTTGGGCAGCCCTTTGTGTGCAGGGGAGTTTCTCTTTGACTCTGCCCTTAACTGGTCACTGGCCCCCTCATATGGGAAAGAACCCCACCTGGGCCATGAGGGCCTCTTGCTGCTCCCTGTCCCTCCTGTTGTCTCACCTGCATGAGCCTCTCTGTGCTTTGGTTTCAGTGCCCAGCAGAGGAGCACACAGCTGAACAAGAAGAGAGCCATTCCCAACCAGGTAGGCAACCCCTCCAGGGCCTGCAGCTCCACCTTGAGGGCAGTGGGGGAGGGCACCAAGGGACCACTGGGCATTGCAATGGCACCTGGGGTGTGCATGCCCCACCAGATCCTCACCTCTGCAGCCTCTCAAGTCCACTTAGGTTTTGATGCTTCAGGAAGCTGGTCCGAGAGCCAAAGCTCTGGCAGGGCCGAGGGGGCAGATTTGGCACACCTGTAAGGCCTTGTTGGAACATCCAAGGCCGTGGTTAGAACTTGACCCTCAGGGCAGCCGAATCACCCATGGTGTCTGCGGGCACGTTGGGTTTTTGGCCCCAAGGATTTGGAGCCTGTGGGAGGCTGCATAGTGACAAGCAGTTCTGGGAGGCCTGGGATGCTTTGACCCCACACGTGGAAAAACCCTAAGCCACACACAGGGTTTTCTACCCCAGCCAGAGACCTGTGAAATAAGAACAGTTTTATATTTATCAGTATCAGGTGCTTTTTTTTGGAGAAAGAAAATCATCATCTTTGCAAAAGTTTCTGCCAGTGTCCCCTGCTTTTCCACATCATGCGGGGGTGGCGGTGGGGGCTCTGCTATTTATCTTGCACGATTATAGAGCCCTCTGGAAAAGAAGGGTGTAACCACTGCATGATTTTTTTTGTGCTTGTTGTAGGTAATACGTATGTTGTTGCTTTTTTGTTTCGGGAGATGATAATGAATTAAATATTAACACCGTGAATATAATTAATAGCATGTAATTTTTTTTCTTTTGCTGTTTTTTCCTCTGCTCTTCTCTCCTCCCATTTTTGTGCCTTTCCTGCTTCTTTTCCATCCCCTCATGTCCCTTACGTCTCTTTTCCTCTGCCTGCTCTTCTTTGATTTACCTAACTTTGCATTTTCAAAGGGGGAGATCTTGGTAAGTACCCACTTGGCGTGGTAACAAACATTAGTGAATGTAGTAGTGGTGGAGACCCCCACCCCCGCCCCTTAACATGCCTTTCCCCTAAAAATAAAAAAAACAACTAAAAATCAAACTAACCTGAAACTCCCTGCTGCAGCCTATGTCTGATGTCATGTTGCCCCTGGCATAAGCTGACTCACGCAGATGCTAACCTGACCACCGCCCTGGTGAGAGGCCCACCCCTCCAGCCCATTCCTGATATGTGCACCTGGTTTCCTGTAGGTCAGGGATGGCTAATACTCTTCCCTCTCTCCCTCTTGGAAGATTTTGCTTAAGCTCTGCTGGAATTTGCCACTGGCACCACTTTGTCTCCAGGGTAGACATCACTGTGCAGAAAATTTCCCCTTCCTGTGCTCTTGGCAGAAATAACTAATTGATCTAGCACTCTTTTCTTCGTGCATCTCCCTTGTCATGTGCCCATGGCAGACACTGCTAACCAATCCTGGCATTCTTTCCTAAGCATGCCACCACTCCCCGTTCTATGGCAGACGTGACTGATTGGCTGGGGAAATTTTTTTCCACATGATAGTGTCGTATGTGACACAGTCCATGACAGACATGACTAATTGATCAGGGAACTCTCTAATAGATGCTGCCACTATCCTGCCTCCATGGCAGATACATGATGGATTTGATTCTTCTGTTCCACTTGCCCCCGTCCCTTAAACATTGCCTGTGGCAGACATCATTTGTTGATCCTAGCTTTCTTTCCCACTGTACCTAAAATTCTTGCCACAGGACTTCAGGCAGCCCCTACTTGTTGATGGGTATGGCCCCCACATGAGAGGTATTTGCCATCCTTCTTGTAGGTTACACCTCCTCTCCTTGTGTGGCCTAGCCCAGGGACAAGCAGGTGCTGCTCATTCTGAGAGTTGAGCTCTTTTCAAGGTGCCTCCCTCTGGGCAGGTGGCTTCAATTCCAGCTCTCCACCTCGGAGAGCATGGCCTGGACTTCTAGCCCTAATAGCAGCCTCCTTCTCCGGGGTAGTCTCCCACCACCAACCATTGAGGTACTGGGTCCCACTACTGCCCTGTAGCAGGGATCATCTGGCAACCCCATATCTTCCCATAGCTGAGCTGATCCTGTACCAGGGCCTCACTTGTTCCCAGGGCCTAGAATTCTCTCAGAAAATACAGAAAGAACCAAAGCTTGAGAGGAGGGGCAAGAGGAATGGATAGTCCTTGGCCCCTGACTCCCACATGTCACCTCCAATCCCCCTGGAACCTGAATGATTTCCTGCTTCTAAACAATCCAGGGGCCTGCTTCTTTCTACACCCCAAGAGGTATAGTCATTCTTTTCCTGCTGGATTCCACATCCTTGGCCACAAAGCCCAACCCTACCATGTGCATGGCTGGTCCCTAGGTCTCCCAGCTATGGTCCCTATCCCAACTGGGGCTGGGACCCTCACCTGGGAGGAGGCTGGTCCACCTTGTTGGTGTGCTCCAGCTGTGTCGCTTCTTGCCTGCTGCCCATGCTGTCCCTGTGGCCCTTTCTCCCACTCCAGCATGCCTGTTGCTGTGTACCCTGGAGCATGGGAACCCTGCCTGCCTCTTCTGTCTCCCCTGCCCACCCTGCTCCCATCCCCTATTGTTCTAAGTCCAGTCCCCTTGGGCACAAACCTGGCTTTTGGATGAGGGGGCACAAGTACTTACTCCTTTTTCCTCTAGGCTCAGCGCCTGTATCTGCCACCCACAGCTTGCATCTTCCCAGGGTGGGGTTCTGTCTCTGACCCCAGCTGGGCTCACGTGAAGGCAGCTCTTTGGATAGCCTGAGGGAGAAGGGACCTTTGGGGCTTCTCCAGGTCTGACTAGCAGCCTCCTGCCCCAAGACTCAGATGTGCCACTCCTGGTGTGGCCCCCACCTCATGGCCACATGCCCTGCAGCACAGCAAGGTGCCCGCCTGCCAGCTCCGACCACTGCTAACTGAGGATGGAGGCAGACAAGCCAGGCCACCAAGGGGTGGTTGGGGCACATCTGCTCCTGGGAACCAGGCTGGGCCCAGGAATACAGAGGCCTGCCCATGGGAGGATTTCTCTGGGGAGCACTGACAGCCTGTCTTTCCACCACCTTTATTCCTCCCCTGGCTGTCAATTAATGACAGGGGAGATTAGAAACACCCACTCTGGGCCTGGACTAAGCCAAGACAGGCCCCATATACCCCTAGGGGAGTAGAGGAGCAGGCATGAGCACAGCCCCAAATCTCTGGGGCTGGATGTATTGGCCAGATGCAGGGGCTTCTTCCTGGGTCCTAGGCAGGAAGGCCTTGGGCCTGAGTCTGGAGACCAGCCTTGCCCTCCGCATGACCAACCTTCCTGCTTTACCTGGGACTGAGGGTGTTCCCAAGACTCTAGACTTTCAGTGCTAAACTGGGGTGAGTTGGTCACCCTGTTGCCAGGGAGAACACCATGACTTTGTTGGGGCTGCTGGCCTCTGCCCCCTTGCCCACCAGGCAGCCTGTGGCTGGGCAGGTGCCAGAGGTCACTGCCTGCTTTCTGATGGCCGAAAGACTCCAAAATACTGTTTTATCATCCCAGGGAGGGAGAAGTCTATGCCCTTGGTTTTAATAAGGGTTTCTTGGTGGCATCTCATTCCATCTCCAACCTGGGCAGGAGCTTCTGCATGGTGCAAGGGTCTCTGGGTACTCTGTGGCCACCTCCACCTTTATGTTCTGAGCCTCAGAGCATAAATCTAGCCCCAGGAGGGGTAAGGGCCAAGGGCTGGTCACCCTGATAAGATTTGGCAGGCCTGGGGTCAGGTCAGGGTAGGTAGGATGCAACCCCTCTTGATACCCTCCCACTAGGAAGGCATGTTGCCCCCAGAAGCATCCCCAAAGCCCCAGTCTACCCCCACCCCAATCTGGGGTCCCAACTTCAGCTCTTCCCAGCTCTTGTGGCCACCTACAGCCTACCCTCTGCAGATAGGCCTAGACTGTTGCTGCCTTGGCTCCAGGCGGCTCTGCCTATACCTCCACATGCTTCTCGCTGCCCTGGGTTTTCCATTGCAGAGTGGTGGGGGGCTCTGGCCCCCACATGCTTTTATGGCCCAGGGAACACGAGAGTGTGGCCCCCTAAGCTCCCTGCATTTAGCCTTCAGGTGAGCCCCCTGTGCCGGCCTGGGTTCTGCCTCTCAAATGACAGCCACTGCCTGCTGACCCCCATCCAGGGGGGTCTATCAGCTTGATGTGTCAAGCAGAGAAAAATGGGACCACAGGGCTTGAGTCCAGTCTAGGGAATATTCCCTGCAGGTCTCCTTTGCCCCCAGTGCTCTGGATGGAGGTGTCCCTTCATCCTCATACTCTGAAAAGAGCCTGTGGAGAAGGGAGCCCCAGGGTGGGGGCTGTCAAAACAGGTACTTGTGCCCACTGAGCACCTGCCCTTGCAAGACATCAGATGAGCCAACAGAATTGGTCAAGCTTGAGAGTTGAGCCTCTGCTGTTTGGCTCTTGAAAGGAGAGGGAAAAAAACTACTTCATTGTGTAGGTGACTGGAGCCCTCCATTTATAGCTACCAGAGGACACGAGGGGCAGGGCCCAAGGGCATCCCTATTACCCATGTCTCACTAAGATAATTACATTCTGTGTGACTCCACACACAAGCCTAGATCCCTCCTCTGGGCCCCTTTCAGCAGGCATACCTTTTGCCACCTGTGGTAACTCAATCTAACACCAGGGGCCTGGTTCCCTATCACCCCAGGCATGTGAATGAGTCAGTGACTGTCTCCGCAGGTGCCTTATACTGGTTTCCAGCAGGAAGTGCTTGGGGCAAGATAAAGTTGGATTGGCTGTCTTTTATTTTTATAAATTTTAATTTATTGATTGATTAGAGAGAGAGAGAGATATTAATTTATTGTTCTACTTATGCATTGGTTGATTTTTTAATGTTTTTTTAATTGATTTTAAAGAGAGGAAGGGAGAGAGACATCAATTTGTTGTTCCACTTATGCATTGATTGGTTGATTCTTTTTAATTTTTTTTTTTTTTTATATAGAGAAAGGGAGAGAGAGGAGATAGAAACATAGATGTGAGAGAGAGACATTGATCAGCTACCTCCTACACACCCCCTACTGGGGATCGAGCCCATGACCAGGAGTCAAACCAGGACCTCTCAGTCCACGGGACATTGCTCTATCCACTGAGCCACACCAACCGGGCCATTGGTTGATTCTTGTATGTGCCCTGACCAGGGCTCAAACCTACAACCTTGGCATATTGGGATGATGCTCTAACCAACTGAGTTACCAGGCCAGAGAACATTGTCTGTCTTTGGGCTGAAGGTGTCTCTGTCTTGGTCCCTGGCTTCCTGCCTTGCTGGGGTCAAGGGCTCTGGCTGCTGCGCTGGGGTTGGGCTGAGCTGGGCAGTGAGTTCTCCACTGAGATGCGCCCTTCTCCCCAGGTGATCCGCAGAGGCTGGCTAACTATCAACAACATCAGCCTCATGAAAGGCGGCTCCAAGGAGTACTGGTTTGTGCTGACAGCCGAGTCTCTTTCCTGGTACAAAGATGAGGAGGTAAGTGGATGGCGGGGCCGAGGCCATAGAGTGAGAGTAGTGGTCGTTTATTTATCACTCACTCGCTCCTTTGTTCATTCACCTGTTTACTCATTCACTTTCACGAAAGGTTCCCTGAGCACCACTGTGCCTCAGAGCTCACCATTAGGATGGTAACAGCCAAGGCTAGAGGATGTGCCAGGCATCACACATCATATCCCAACCTCTCATGTGTCCCTGTGGGGTCCAGCCTAATGGAGGAAAGGAAGATGGGGGAGGAAGCCACCAGTAGGCTTGAAACTCACCCCAGCCTCCAAAGGCACAGAAAGGAGAGGTTATGGCCCTCAGAGGGAACACAGCCTGGGATCAGGGACTTAGGCTTACAGCCATGCTGCTGCAGTGCTGGGGTTCCATGGTCTACAACCTACATGGGCTCAGCCAGGCCATTAGCCTCTCTGGGCTGTTTTCTCATCTGTGAAGTGTGAAGAATGGCCCCTACCTACTGTGAGGTGCTAAGCCGTAGTGTCTGTCTTTAGAACATTGTATACATACTTGTCCTGATCAGAAGGATGGGGAGGCAAGGGGTGCCTCATGGAACAGCACCAGGAACCGTAACCTCAGGGAGCAGTATTACAGCTGCTTTGAGCTGCGGTCTCCACGAACAGGGGCAGGGCATGAGTGGAGCGCACTCTCGGCAGTGGTCAGCCTCTCCAGGCAGCACTGTTATCCACATCCCTCCTCCCCCTCTGGCTCACTTTCCCATCCTGAGTGGACCATTTCTTTACTTAGTTCTCCTAATGGAACAACATAACTGTGTCTAAGAGGCCTGGGAGTGAAGCCATGCCTTTGGTTCCTATTGCTGCCATCGTGAGCCAGGGGGTCACCAGCATGGGGTGCTGTGTTTCTGTCCTTTTCCTGGGTTGCCTTCTGAAGACCCCTGTAGGCTCTCCCTGTTGGCCAGGGCAGTATTATGTGTCTGTGACAGAGGCCCGAAATGAAGGCACTTACTAAAACAGAAGTCTGTTTCTCCTTTGGGTCCCTGGTGAGTTTAGTGGCCCTGTGCTGCAAGGCTGACCAGGGCCTAGGCTTCTCTTTTCCATTGCCACTTTAATACATGGCTCCCCATCATGGTCCAAGATGGCTGCCCCCATGCTCATCACCACGTGGCCTCTAGCAGCCCCAAGAAAGGAAATAAGGGCCTGTTGAAGAATGTGTAAACATCACTCTGCTCATGTGTCCCTGACCAGAATCTAGTCTAATGGCCATTGTTAAGTCCTGCTCATCAGGGATGGCATAGCTACCAACTCAGCCCAAGTGCCCTTGGAGAAGTTAGGCTTCTCTGGTCACCCCTAGAGCCTCCCTTGGGGATTTGGGAGGACTCCCTTCAGAAGTGGCCCACACTAGAGGCCTCACTGGCAGTCGATCCCATCCGAGACAGCTAAGCCTGGGTCCAACTGTGCATATTTCCACCTAGGTTCAGGAACAAGGCAGGTAGAACTCTGTTGGGGCCCCTGGGTGGCTCTTATTTATGAAGCCCACTAAAGCCACATGTGGAGGGTACCCTCCTCCTCAGGAAATCCTCACACTTTGTCAGTGAGGAAACTGAGGCTCCAAGTAGTGACTTGTCCCATGTCACAGCAGAGAAGGGGCCCTGTGGGTGGGTACAGTACAAGCTCCCTGGCCAGAGAAACCTCAGCCCCAGCCTGGACATCTGCCCCACAGCCCAGGCCAGATGCGGTTCCTCCAAGGGAGAGTGTTTGGGGGTGAAATCATTCCACTCCACATGAGTCCAGACACTCATCCCTGGAATGTTCTGGAAACCTCAGGAGCTCTGAATCCCCTGGAGGGAGGGAGGGATCCTGCCTGGGGGGCTGCTTTTAAACAAAGCTGGGATGTGTGTATCCAGGACCCCCCACTTCATGGGGTTTGGATGTGGGGGGAGAGTGAGACCAGGCATTCCTCAAGGAACCCTCGTGGCCGCATCAGCTCTCTAAAATGTCTGGGTGAGGGGTGGGGTAACGCTTTCACATTTTTCCCCTCTCCGCCCCCGCAGTCTGAAATCCAGCCTGCTCTGTGGCTCGTCAGCTGTCAGGCAAGCTCTGGGCTGGTCTCCGCCTTTGGGCTTGGGGGTCCCCAGGGCCTAGTGCTTTGGGGCCCAACCCCCATCCTGGCTCACTGCTCTGCACCATTGCAAGTCCAGTTTTCAGAGCTCTTCTTGAACTTTAGGAGAAGCTTTTCGTTTACCTCTCACTGGGGTTTGAAAGCAGGAGTCCCAGACTCTCCCTGGGGGCCCCAGACCAGAGGCAGGGGAAGCACTGGGAGGAGGGTTGAATGCCTGCTGGTGGTAATGAGAACCAGCAGGCCTGTGAAAGGGGCCTTGTGTGTGCCCCAGACACAAAGCGGGCTCAAATTGGGAGGGGCAGGAGTGAAATCCTGTGCCCCCGCTCTAGTTAGGGTCCCAGCCGGAATCCTCAGTCACACATGGTGACCACCCCTGGGGCCAGGCCTCCTCAGAGATGCCTCAGATAGGGGCAATACATTTATATTTCTTTATTTTAAAAAAATAAACAAGGAGGTAGTTACTGCAAGAAGTAGGAGTAGGGGGACCGTTCAGCCAGGGCCCCCCAATCTTATGACCTGCGTCAGGGCTCCCTCTGCCTATACCTGAAGATTTTTTTCCTACTCAGGCCCTTTTTCTGAATTCCAGAACCTTCCATCTGAGTCTCCACCCTGGTGGGAAACAGGGTGGTGGGCGATGACACTCACCTCCGAGTCTGCCTCTCTGTGGGGGTGGCAGCAAGTTTGGGGGGCCCCTGTCCCGACGTGCTGCTGGCCCGAGCCCAACCTAACCAATGTGCAGACTACTGTACACATGCAGGACCCCCTGAACAGGTAGTCTGAACACTGGGTTGGTGGGGTCGGCTGTCCATCTTGCGGGCCCCCCGGGCAGCGACAGGGCCACCATGCTTCGGCACCTCTGAGCAGGCAAGAAAGCCACTGCTCCGCCCGTGATAATCCGCTCTAGCTTTTCTGACGTGGCAAGGCTGGGCTGGCTTGCATCTGGAGAAAGTTGTAGGTTTTCAGGAAATCCTACGGAGGGGGTGGGTGGGAAGGAGGGTTTGGGTTCGTGGCCTCTGCGTGTGGGAGACGCTTTCCTTGGGGGTCGGGATGGGGGCGGGCGCACACATGGCTGTGTGTGCGTGTGTGTGTGTGCCTCAGCAGCATCAGAAAGGGCAGCCACAGTGTTCTGGGCAGAATCACACTATAAACAGTTCCAGATGTGGCGTCTTGCTTGGGGTCCAAAAGGACTGTGACTCAGTTACTTGGCTTGGCCAGCTGACTGGAAGCTTCCTGCCTCGTGACATGGCAGGGTGGGGCAGTGAAGGCCTTTCCACAAACTTCTGGTCAGGGAATTCCCATCCTGGCCTCTTCTGAGTGTCCCCCAAACTGCCTGGGACAACTGGTATACCCTTTTCTTCACACCCCTTATTCCCTGAAATGGCAGGCGGTGGGGGGGTCCCATCTTCCTGGGCACAGGGCCCCTCTCCCTGCCTCATGCAGCTCGGCCTGGAGGCCTTTGAAGCACTGTGTCCTGCTTCCTCCCTGCCCAGAGCCTGGTGGACTAGCCCTGGAGCATGGGAGACACTGACAAAAGAAAACCCCTGGTATCTTGTAAGCAGTGGGTCGGGTTGGAACATGATCAGCACTTTTTTTTTTTTAAATTTTTTTTCTTTATTGATTTTAGAGAGAGAGGAAGGGGGAGGGACAGAGAGATAGAAACATTGATGAGAGAGAACACTGATTGGCTGCCTCCTGCCTGTCCCCTACTGGGGATTGGGCCCACAACCTAGGCATGTGCCCTTAACCGGGAGTTGAACCGGCAACCTCTTGGTGCATGGGTTGACGCTCAGCCTCTGAGCCACATCGGCCAGGCTGATCAGCACTTTTATACAGTGTTAATCCTCACCTCAAACAAAGGCAAGACTCCTATCTGTCTTTGACAGATGCAGAAACTAAGAGGGGAAGTGGCTTGCTCTGACGGTCAGAAAGGGGCAGACCTCTAACCTCTTAGTGCCAAAGCACAGCCCACCAAGCGTGCCACTAGATCCTGCCTCCCTGTAGTCCTGAAACCCAGCCCCTAGCCCCCTTCCCCTCCATCACTGTGGCTGCCCTTGAATTGGAAGCAGTAGCCATGTTGGGCTCCTTTCTGGGGCCTTCTGGCAGACAGGGACAATAGGTGGAAAGAAGTGAACTGCTGGGTGAGGGAATAGGTCTTTCCTCCAAAGTTGCCAGGTGAAAGGCTGGGAGAATGGTAGAGAGAACATGGTTTGGGGGCATACATCCCTCTGTGGCCTACTTTGCCTGCTATATGGCCCTGGGCAGCCTGGTTTTCTCCCTCAGCATGATGCTTCCCTGGCAGGAATAGGGGAAGGTTTCATGAGCTGATGGAGGAGCAGCACTTCACATTGATCTTTGAGAGTTGCTATGGTCATGTCGACGTGGGAACTGGGGAACCATGCTCTGGTTTCCTAATGTGAAAACCCAGTTATTGTGTGCAAGCACATGCATACACACAGCTACTATGAGGACTAACAACGATGTGCTGGCCCTGTAGGTGCTTTGCCGATGACTTCAGTGAGCGTTGGGCTCCAGGACTGCTTCCTCAGCAGCCATCACTTCCTAAAGGGGGCTGCCCTTAGGAAGCAAGTGACACTCTGTGGCTTTGGGGCTCAGGCATCAAGTTTAGTAGGGCCTTGCTTTCCAGCTCCTGGATCATGTGAAATCCCAGCCCCGCCCCTATCCCCTGCCTGCCCCTCTCTGCCTCTGGCTCCCCTCTGTAAATGGGAGCATAGTGGTAACTCACTTTCAGGCTTGTTGTAGGGCCACAGCTGAGTTAAGAACAGTTCATTTCCAGCCCTGGCCGGTTTTGCTCAGCGGTTAGAGCGTCGGCCTGCGGTCCGGAGAGACCTGGGTTCGGTTCCCACTAAGGGCATGTACCTCGGTTGCAGTTTGTCCCCGGCCCTAGTTGGTCGTGCGGGTGGTAGCCACTCGATGTGTCCCTTTCACGTCGATGTTTCTCTCTCTCTCTCTCTCTCTTCCTCTCTCTCCCTCCCACTCTATCTGTACAAAAAATGGAAAAATGTCCTCAGGTGAGGATGAAACAACAACAACAACAACAAAAAAGAACAGTTCATTCCCCCATCCTGGAGGGGAAAAGTGTTTGGATTCTGGGTAGAGTCGGAGCTGGACAGTTTTGAGCATCCACTATGTGTTAGCAGTGACCAAAATAGACAGGAGTCCCTGCCCTCCAGGAACTGAGGAGTCAGTCAGGGTAACAGATGGCAGCCTAGGTCAATAGCACGATATATTGTGTTGTGTTGTTGTGAAGTACCAAGGGGAGAGAAGTGGGGGGTGGAGGGAGATTGGTGTGGGGTCAGGGCAGGTGTTGCCAAGAGGGTCTCCTCTGCACAAAGACCTGAAGGAGTCAAGGAGGGAGCTGCAAAGGCATGGAGTGTTCCAGGCAGAGGTCCCAGATGTGTAAAGGGTCCTGAGTGGGAGCTTGCTTAGGATGTTCAGGGAGTGTCAAGGAGGTTGGCATGGCTGGGGCAGGGTGAGCAAGAGGACAACAGTAGTGAATGAGTTAATCTGAGTAAAGTGACTAACGTGGGAAGAAGCATCAGGTGTTGGCAGTAGTCCTTGCAGTAGAGCCCAGCCCTGGGCATCATCAGGTCTTCAGTTAAACAGCACAAGGTAACCCCTGCCCTTCCACCCTCAGGAGAAGGAGAAGAAGTACATGCTGCCGTTGGACAACCTTAAAATCCGCGATGTGGAGAAGGGCTTCATGTCCAATAAGCATGTCTTTGCCATCTTCAACACGGAGCAAAGGTGAGCACCCATGGGATCCCAGGGTGGAGACCAGTGACCTCCTTCAGTCATTCGGCAGCATCCACTGAGCATTTGATGAATCTAGTTTCCGCGCTGGGGTATCATATTCTGTAAAGGGAGCCAGTTGAGAAACAAAACTGCCATGGGCACTTCTAATGGGTGGTCAGGGAAAACCTCTGTGGGCAGAGACAGATGAAATGATGCAGGAGGCCCTGGCTGGTTTTGCTCAGCGGTTAGAGCGTCAGCCCGTGGACCAGAGAGTTCCAGGTTCAGTTCTCGCTAAGGGCTGGTACCTCGGTTGCAGTTTGTCCCCAGCCTGGGTGGCAACCACTCAATGTCTCTGTAACATGGATGTTTCTTTCTCTCTCTTCCTTCCTCTCTCCCTCCTGCTCTATCTGAAGATAAATGCAAAAATGTCCTCGGGTGAGGATTTAAAAAAAAAAAAAAGAAAGAAACGATGCAGGACCCTTGGAGGGTTCCAAATGGACAGGACCTGACTCGGGTGCTCACTGGCGCCCTCTGGTGGCCATGGAAGGAACAGATGGGGATGCGGTGGGAGGCCTAGGGACCAGGACCAAGAGACTGTACTAGTCCCAATGGTAGATGGTAGGGCTAGACCCAGGTGACGCTGAGGACCTAGAGAAAGGAGCAGATTCCAGTAGAGTTAATCAAACTCTTGGTGGATGTGGAGAGCGAGAAAGGCATTGTTGGTGACCCTGAGCTCCTGCAGGGAGGGAGCTGTCATCAACCATGATGGAGAAGGCAGAGGCAGGGTAGGCTGGGGGACTATCAGGAGCTGGGTTGGGACCATGCTGAGGGAGAGAGGCCTATGGGGTTTGGGGAGGCATCTGGGTAGGTACAAGAGTGTTCTGTTCAAGAACAAGCTCCAGGAAGAGATGTGAATTGGGGAGTTGTGATTGCATGGTGGTGTTTAAAGTCATGAGACAGAGTAAGATACCTGAGTGAGTATAGATGGTTATGAGTGTCTGGATCACAGGTGAGTCCTGGTCATTCAGACCCTCACTACACCCGATCTGGGCCCATAGTCAAGGTCAAGCACATGCCTGTCTCCTCTTCCCATCTCAGGAATGTCTACAAGGACCTGCGGCAGATCGAGCTAGCCTGTGACTCTCAGGAGGACGTGGACAGTTGGAAGGCCTCGTTCCTCCGAGCTGGTGTCTACCCTGAGAAGGACCAGGTAAGGAGCTGCCATGCCCTGCCTAGCCATGCCTTTAGCTTAGCTGACCCCCACCTGGGAGAGGAAGGGAGCTGCAGTCTCACAGGATAGGTCATTTCCAGGTTGTATTTACCAGAACTCTCTGAAGGCATGTAGCCCATACCATCAAGCAAACAAAGCAGAAAAGTGGAGGAGGATTTTGTCATTGGAGCCCAGAAGGTTCTCCAACTGAAGCCAAGGACAGGGATGAATAGGGGCTGGGACCCCATTTGCTTTGTTCTCTCTTCACCTCCCCTCCTTGAAGTAGAGTGAATATGGCTACCCTCAGTTCCCAAATTAACATGTTGTTTCAATCCCCAAATAAGAGGACCTAGCCCCCTGTGGGCCGTGGTCACCCCAGGTCCAGGCAGCTTAGGCCAGGGGCAGGCAGGGCCACATGGTGCCAACATGGCCATCAGGGGCCAGCCCTGGAGGGTTAGTTGTGCGTGGGACCAGGCAAGCCATTTCCAGAGAAGGGGGACTTACCACACTCTCTTAGGCCACAGTTATTCCTCACCGTCTCCCTCCCACCTTGCAGGCAGAAAACGAGGATGGAGTGCAGGAAAACACATTCTCCATGGACCCGCAGCTAGAACGCCAGGTGGAGACCATTCGCAACCTCGTGGACTCCTATGTGGCCATCATCAACAAGTCCATCCGCGACCTCATGCCAAAGACCATCATGCACCTCATGATCAACAATGTAAGTGTCTGGCCCCTACAGGGCTCTCAGTCACAGGGAAGGGCCAGGTTGGCCAAAGCCAGATTTGGCCTAAACACTGTTTGAAATTAAAAATTAAGTCACCACCTTTTATACATCAAAATCAGGATTCCCAACCTCTTCTGGGAAATTGGAAGGTACAGACTACACAGAGCTCATACTCCCATTTATCAGGTAACTTAAGCTAACACGACATATGTGCTTCCTCTAAATTAATTTTTTCAGTCTTACAATAACTGTAGGAGAGGGTCTGCTATCATCCCCATTTTATAGACAGGAAAATGGAGATCCAGAGTAGTCAAGGAATCTGCCCCAACACTCTGAAGAGTAGAAAGTGGGAGTCAAAGCCAGACTGAGTCTGTCCCCAGCTGCAACCTTGACCTCCTGATGGCCTGCAGCCCAGCCCACCTTTACTTTCAGCGTTACTTGCATGCCCTGGGGCTCACAAGCCTCTCATTTAGGCTTGTATTGGTAAAATGCAGCTGTACTAATGTCTCCCATTTCAAATCTTTGGCCTGGCAGTAGGTACTTAGAAAGCTATATAGACCAGATTTGTGTTGTGACTATAAAAGCGGAAACTGTGACAGGGTCTGAAGCAAAAAGTCCCTTCCCTTTCATTCTGTTCTTCACAGTCGCCTTCTCAGTGATGATCAGTTTTAAGTTTTGTGGGTACCCTGGCATATTCTTCACATATTGATGGGATTTATGATATATATAATTCAGCAGCCTGAAATTTAAAATGCACATATGCTTTGAACCCTGCAGTTCTACTAGTAAGAATTTCTCCCACAGAGACATTTGCCCACATGGCAGTTGAGCATAAACATGGCTATTCTTTTCAGCATTGTTTTGTAGTGGCCAAAGATTGGAAATTTCTATAGAATTTTAATAGAATTCATTTAATAATTATCCATTCTATCGCAAAAAAAGATGAATATCTCCCGGTCTGTAATAACTTTCATTATTAAGTGGAAAGGTATGGAGCACAACAGAATATACAGGAAGGTTCCATTTGTGTAAAAAGGGAGGGGAAATACATACATAGTATATGCATAGACATCTCTGGAAGTTTGTACAAAAACTGGGTGAGTGCAGCTGTTTCCTATAAGGGGATTTCAAGGGGGCTAAGGAGGCCAGTGTGAACAACGGAGTTTTTGCTGTACCTTTTTGTACCTTTAGGCTGTATTTTATTTTTCCTTTTACCAGTTTTTCAAAATTTAAATGTTTGAATAGCTGATGCATTCACATTTAGAAATTATCCAGCATGGTCATATTTGCAGATGTTAGAAATTTGAGAAAATTTCCAATATAGACAATTTGTAGAAGGAGTCTTTTGTTACAAGGTTTCATATATCCACTGAGTCTACATATTTAAGTCTCAAGCCACTCTTTTAAATTTTTCTTTTGTTAATTCTCACCCGAGGATATTTTTCCATTGATTTTTAGAAAGTGGAAGCGGTGGGGGATAGGTAAAAGAGAGAGAGAGAGAGAGAGAGAGAGAAACATCAGTGTGAGAGAGACACATCGATTGGTTGTCTCCCAAACACCCTTACCGGGGCTGGGAATTGAACCTGCAACCTAGGTATGTGCCCTTGACTGAGAATCAAACCTGCAGCCCTTCTGTGTGGGGGCCGACACTCTAACCACTAAGCCATAACAGCCAGGTCTCAGGCCACTCTTGACCTTAATAGGCAAACTCTGGAAGCATCACTTCTAAAATCAAGAACAGGTTGGCCATTTCTACTTTTTTTTTTTTTTAATCCTCACCCGAGGATATTTTTCCATTTTTTGTACAGATAGAATGGGAGGGAGAGAGAGGAAAGGAGAGAGAGTGAGAAACATCGACATGAAGGGACACATCGAGTGGCTGCCACCCGCACGACCAACCAGGGCCGGGGACAAACTGCAACCGAAGTACGTGCCCTTAGCGGGAACCGAACCCGGGTCTCTCCGGACCGCAGGCCGACGCTCTAACCGCTGAGCCAAACTGGCCAGGGCCATTTCTACTTTTTTATTTAACTTTTTTGTAGAGTTACTAGCCAATGCAGTTAGACAAGAAAAATAATTTAGAGGTGTGAACATTGAAAAAGGATAGGAAAAATCATTCCTATTTGTTAAAGATCATGTACACACGACATGTGTACCTAGAAAGCCCAAGAAAAGTAACTGAAAAACTACTGTGTCCGCCCTGGCCAGTTTGGCTCAGTGGTTAAAGTGTCAGCCTGCGGACCGGAGAGTCCCAGGTTCAGTTCCTGCTAAGGGTGCATACCTCGGTTGCAGTTTGTCCCTGGCTCCTGTTGGGGTCATGTGGGTGGCAGCCAGTTGACATGTCTCTCACGTCGATGTTCTCACACTCTCTCTCCCTCCCACTCTATCTGAAGATAAATGCAAAAAAACAAACAAACAAAAAAGCTGTGTCCTGTATGAGGATTCAGGAACAAAGTATAAAATTAACAGAAACTAGTGCAGTAAGTCCTCAGTTAATACCAGGGACAGGTTCTGTGACTTTAAGTGAAATGATGTATAATGAAACTAGTTTTTCCATAGGCTAGTTGATGTACACCTGAAACTGATATAATATTGTATACCAACTATACTTAAATTAAAAAAACACCACAGGCTAATTGGTATAAATAAATAACTTAGGTTCCTATGACATTGCATTAATGATATAATTAATGATTGAACTAAGTGACATTATTGGAGGACCTGCTGTAGTTTTTGAACAAAAGTCAGTTTGAAGATAAAATGATAGCAGAAAAGATAGTAATAAAAGAGATATGCTTCTAGGAATAAGTTTAATAAGAATTTCCTGGAATGTGTTGGAAGAACACTTGAAAGCATCCCTAAGGAACTCAGAAGACAGCTGGATGGAAAGCTCATCTGTGTTTTAAACATCTTACATGTTCTACAATAAATTAAAGACAAAGATAGCCCTACCTAGTGTGGTAGATGCTTTTCTAGCCAGTCTCAGTGGCCAAGTGAGTTCATGGTCAGTATGGTGGGAAGTCCTGATCTTTCCAACCCTTGCCCCCAGACAAAGGCCTTCATCCACCATGAACTACTTGCCTACCTATACTCATCGGCAGACCAGACCAGCCTCATGGAGGAGTCAGCTGACCAGGCCCAGCGGCGGGATGACATGCTACGCATGTACCATGCACTCAAGGAGGCACTCAACATCATTGGGGACATCAGCACTAGCACTGTGTCCACACCTGTGCCCCCACCCGTTGATGACACCTGGCTCCAGAGCACCAGCAGCCACAGGTCTGTGAGGCCTGATCACCTACTTGCTGCAGAGGCCGCCACCTGCGGGTTCCTAGCTCCTTTTCCAACCCCCAAGTGGGTAGCGTAAAGGGGACCAACCCAGATGGCATAGCACCCAGGAGGGACTGGGAGAGAGAAGGGTTAAAGGTCAGACTATCTCCTGGTGCCTTCCACTGCTTCAGCCCAGTTGGAAGCCAGAGAGGGCAAGAGGCTTGGGTGACACCAGCCAAGGGGAGCAGCCTCCTGGGGCACAGAGCATGGCCAAGAATGGTGGGTGGGAAAGGATCTGGAGGGGCAAACAGAGGGCATAACCAGCACATTTCCTCCTCTCCAACCAACCCCAAGCTGTTGGATGAAAATTAGATCCTGGCGTGGATAATTAAGAGCATCAGACAGGGAAACCTAACCAGTGGAAGGTTGGGCAAGTGTTAGGAGGAGAGGATAGGTCAGAGAAATCTCATAGAAGGTATCAGCCCTACTGAAACCTCAGGGAACCACAGAGTTACTTAAGGAGAGGACACAGCATCCAGCATGGGAAGCAGCGGGTGTTCAGGCCCAGGGGTAGCCTGTCGGGCACTTGGGACAAAGGCTTATGGCCTCTGAAGGCATCTGGACTTGATTTGTAGGGCAGAACTGGGCTCTGGTAGGATTTTCAATTATGGAGGGTGGATTGGAAGAAGCACAAAAGTGGGGAGAACTGAGTGGGGTCAGTGAGAGGGAAATGCCTATGAAAGTGAGGTCAGAGGGAAACAGGAGCCCTTGGCCAAAGGACAGGTTTAGGGTGGGAGGGTGGCCATTTCTAATAGGTTTAGGGGGTGAGCAGAGGATCCCAGTGGACTTTTACTGCCTCTTGTCTAGGACTAGGCACTCACCCACACCTCCCTGGGTAATAGCTGGTGCCAACCCATTAGAGAGGCCACTGTGGCCAGCAGCCCCAGCCCGCCTCTGGCTTCTGTGGCCATGTTGGCATGGCTGGTGTTCTTGCCCACTGTTCCCACCTCACACCCTCTTTCTTCCACAGCCCCACTCCGCAGCGCCGACCTGTGTCCAGCGTGCACCCCCCGGGCCGGCCCCCAGCAGTGAGGGGCCCCACCCCAGGGCCTCCCCTGATACCCATGCCGGTGGGGTCAGCAGCCACCTTCTCAGCACCTCCCATCCCATCCCGGCCCATACCCCAGAACCTGTTTGCCAATAATGACCCCTTCTCGGCCCCGCCTCAGATCCCATCTCGGCCTGCTCGGATTCCACCTGGCATCCCTCCTGGAGTACCCAGGTAAGGCTGGCCCCCTAGTTGCCTATCATCTAGAGCCACTGGCTTGCACCCTATAGGGAGTAGAGGAGTCACTGGCATCTTCATTTGACTGGTGGGGAAACTGAGGCCCAGAGCAGTCAAGTCAACTGCCCAAAGTCACAGAGTGGTGGAGTCAGGTAATTTCAAGTCTCTAGGCCTGTCTTCTGCCTGAGCAGGTGCACCCACCACACAGCTTGGGACTTATATGGGGCCTCTTCCCTGGTTTTGGCCGTTGCTTCCTTTTAATTTTTTTTTTTTAATCCTTACCAGAGGATATTTTTCCATTTACCTCAGACAGAGTGGGAGGGAGGAAGAGAGAGAGAAACATCGATGTGAGAGCAACACATCAACTAGTTGCCTCCCGCACAACCCGACCAGGGTCGGGAATGAACTGCAACTGAGGTATGTGCCCTTGACTGGAATCGAACCTGTGACTCTTTGGTCCACGGGCTGATGCTCTAACTGCTGAGCTAAACCGGCCAGGGCTGGCCTTTGCTTCCTTAAGTAGGATACACATTCAGTCATGGCATAACCCTGCCCTGCTTCTCCCCACCTGTCCTGTGAGGAATCTGAGGTCCAGGGCGGGTGGGGGACTTGCCCAGGGTCACAGAGTGACTGCAGGCTACTGATGCCTAGGCTTGGCAAACTCATTTCCTGGTACCCTGGCAGCCATCAGAGCATCTAGCAAAGGGCAGTAACCTGGGAGGGAGTGTTGGGGCCTGGGTTCTCATCATTGCCCTGCTTCCAACCTCACTGCCATTTCCCCCTCCCTGTCTGTCTTTATTCTCTTTGCAGCAGAAGACCCCCGGCTGCGCCCAGCCGGCCCACCATTATCCGCCCAGCCGAGCCATCCCTGCTCGACTAGGCTGCAGGGGCACTTTCTGTGGGGTTCCTTTTGCACCCTCAGTGCAGGAGCTTTGTTGGTTTGGGCCCCTCTGCAGCCTCTGGCCCTCCAGTCCCCATGTCAGGCCCAGGCTCCCTGATTCTTTCCTAACCCTGGGCTAGTTGGCGGCTGGCCTGGCCCCTATCCCCAGCTGGACATGGCACTGAATGAAGGGGCCCTAGAGCCTCAGGGGGGAGGAGGGTGACTTGGGTGTTGCACTTTGTGGGATGAGGCCTGCCTCGGATAGCAGAGGAGGGAACTGGACCCTGAGCACCATCTTGGTGAGGGATCCCAGCTGGTATAATTGGGACTCACCTAGGGGCTTCTCTGGCCTAGAAAGCCTGAGTAGACCAGACCTTCTGGAAACTGGACACCAAGGGTGGCTATACCCTTAGTCCTTGCTGGGGTGCAAGGAGTGTGTTCATTTCTCAGCAGCAGGAGCTCCTGGTGGCAAGCCAGGAGCAGGTCCAGTGATGCGTGCCCTGCCCAGTTGTACATATTCCTTCCTTGGCCGTATTAACCACACGGCCCAGCCTTGGCTGACAGAGGTGCCTTTGCCAGGTCCGGAACCCTCAGCTCCGCTGGCCTCATTCTTTTCCCTAGACCCCCTCTTCCTCCTGGGTCCTCAGAGTGGCCTGGGTTCAGGGCTGAGTGGGTGGGGAGGTTATGGGGGCCCTTGATTCCTACCCAAGCCTCCTACACGGGGCGGGCCCCAAGTGGCCACTCTCTGAGCAGACCTCACTCACTGCTCGCTCAGTTTGACCACTGTAAGTGCCTGCACTCTGTAATCTATTAATAAACTAAAATAAAGGGAAGAAGCTTCTGGTGGCTGCTGTGTGGGCCTTTTGTACTGGCGTTCAGGCTGAGGATGTGGGCTGCTTGTCTTCCCCCAGGAGGCCTTATATGAGGACCCCTTCCACAACAAGCCCCCCCATACCTCACTCATGGGGGCTTTGCTTTTGTGGGAAGGGTTCATTTCTTCTCGAGGAATCCATGCTCTAGAGGGGAGAGATTTTACTTCCCTTAACATCTCAGGAGTGGAGGCAAATATTTCTGCCACCCCACCCACTACAACCACACAGAGGCCTGGGGCAGGCATCAGGATTCCTGAAGGCAGAGGGAATCCTGGCCCTCCACCCCAAACTGCAGTGGTCAGACCCTCTCTTTGCCCTGAAGTCCTGAGCACTTCCCCTAGGTCCCCTCTTCCCCCTCTTGGGGTACCAGGCCTTCTGGCCCAGCCGGGGACACAGTTAAACTTTGCTTTCTGATTTTTCTCTTATGCCCAGGCGACCACCTCCATCGGCTCCCGCCAGACCCTTCTTCTGAACTTCGTGAGAGAGCCCTCCCGCCTGCCTGGCTGCCCTCTTGGGGGCAGGTCTGCCCTGGCTGGTGTCCCTGAGCCCCAATCACCAGGCTCTGTGATTTTCTGACCATAATTTATTGGTTCCAGTCCCCAGGCCAGACCACCCTTTGTTCTGTGAGGCTCCTGTGCAGGCTTTGGCCAGGCCACCCCTCAGCCCTGCCTGGGGCCCCTGCAGGGAGAGAGCAGGAGAGGAAGGTGGTCTTGCAGGCCCTACTCCTGGAATTCTGTTACCAGACCACACACCTAGCCCCTGCTGGGCTAAGGGGCCAGCTCCTTCCTGTCAATAAAGTGACTGTCCTGGCAAGAACACTGCAGCTGAGTCTCCTTCCCAGCCGCAGCATGAGCAGGCCACCCTCAGCAGCAGCAACAGGGCCCAGGTGGAGCAACAAGGAGGGGAAGGAAGGCATGGGGTCCCATGAGCAGCAAGCCTCCTCCCTCCATGACCTTGCTCATAGGGCCAGAGGAGAAGGGAAGGGGAACTTTGCTTCCTGGAACCCATTCTGCACCAGGCAGTGGTGGTGCAGCTGAAGGCTCAGGCTAAGGCACATTTATAGTAGGGGAAAGAGGCAGGGCCAGAAAATCCCAGGGTTGCATTCAAATGCTGCATTGCCCCCCACATGCACAATTTCCAGGAAAGTGAGTACAGCCATTGAGCCACCTCTTCTGCATGGCCCAGACCTGCAAGCCAGCAAGTATTCTGGCCTGGAAGGGAAGACATAGGGGGCCACACCTCAGGCCCATAGTGCACAGCCTCCCCTCCCACAGGAAACTGTTAGTGAAGGGACCTCATAAGTCTCACACATGCACCCTGCTGCCACTCCTTTCCCCTGTTCTTCATGGACGGGCTACGTAGGCACAGGGCGCTTATCCTGGAAGAAGCGCTTGAGTGTGCAGACCTGCAGCACAGCCACTAGCAGCAGCACAGCCACATTCACAGCTGACCAGAAGTTGACCCGTTCCAGGTTGCCCTCCTGCAGGTTGCGGTCACGTGCCTCAAAGGCTCTCAGCAATGTCAGCATCTGGATGCTACGCTCCAGACGGGTCCTCATGGTCTCAATAGACTCCTGTGGGGCAAGGGAGGAACAGGGTCAGGCCTTCATCCTTTGGGGAGCAGAGACTGATAAAATGGGGAAATAGGGTGAGAGTCAGTGTTGTTTAGGGGAGAGAGAACTGACAGTACAGACTCTGACGAGGTTTCCTGCCTGAGTCTAAATCCTCATTCTGCCACTCACTGGCTGTGAAACCATGAGCAAGTTAATTACCTCTCTGGAATTCCAGTGCCTCAGAATTGTTGTGAGAACTGAATGCTTAATGCTGGCAGGGCATGTAAAGAATATTTACTAGTGGATAAGAACACAATTGCTGAAACCAGGCTGCCTGGCTTCAAATATTGACTGCCAGTTGCTAGTTGTGTGGCCTTAGGACAGTTACTGAGCCATCCTGTACCTTATTAAAACGAGGGATGGTTTGAGCACACTACCTACTTCATAGGGTGGTTGTGGAGATATACTGAGTTATTAAGCCCTTAAAATCAGGGTTGATACCTAAAAGTGTGCTATTATTTTTAACTGTTGCTGTTAAGTTGGGGGCATTGCTGCTAGGAAAGGCTGGGTCAGGCCAGGAGGACCCCAGCCAAGGTTGGAAAGCAGGTGCACACTGCTGCCCAATGCCAGAGATCTGGGAAGAGTGGCCCCAGCTCAGCCTGGGCACACCTTGATGTCCTCCATCTTGACATCCAGCATCTCCTCAGGCTCAACGACCTCTGCCCAGCCTTCGACCTCCTCATCGTCCTGCAGGCTGTCAAAGATGAGTTCAAAGAACACCAACTTCTCGGAGATTGTGCTGAAGGAGTTGTCAAAGCACAGCTTGTAGTCCCCAGCCTCCGTGGGTTCTACCCTGGGCAGATAGGCAGACACATACATGACCCTGAATGGCCGCTAGCCGAACTTTGCGAAACAGGCAGGGCGGTAACTCGAGGACACTGGGGAGGGGCAGGGCTGTAATTGAACCCCAGCAGGCAGCGGGACTTAACTCACGTGTGCACCCCATCTGCCTTGCGGGACTCACTGACCAACAGCACGCCCTGAGGGCTCTCCAGCGTGAAATCCACATCCAGCCCAGCACCTGCGATCACCTGGGGGGCAGGTAAGAGCAGGTGGAGGGCTAGGAGTAGGCCAAGAGCACCTGCCTGAGAAGGCCAAGGCTGGACCACCGAGCAGACCCATACATATCACTAAGGACCTACCTAAGCGCTGACACCCACACCTGCAACCGGGTCCTGCCCCCACCCGTCCTTCAGGCGAGCTCCCATTGATACGACAGCTTTGGGATCAGCGTTTTCATCTGGTAACACCCCCATCCGAAATCCTTGATCGGCTTTTACCTGATCACGCCCATGACGTGGCCACGCCCCAAATGAAACAACCCTATCCAGCCTTTAGCCCAAGCCCCCCAAAAATCATGATGATTACGCCCTTTCACATAGAGCATCCTGGCCACGCCCACCAACCCCTTCAATCCGACACAACCCTTTGGCCACGCCCACATAGGTCGGGCCCTATGAAGGGCGCCATTCTTCCCGATGGCCCCGCCTTCTGGCTCTCTGGCCCCGCCTTCGCCCATTACTTTCACCCCTTCTGGCTCCCACGCGTTGTGCCGTCCCTTTCATCTGACTCAGACTCCGCCCCCACGCTCACGCAAAGGCTCCACCCCTCCTCTCTTTATTGCGAGCCTTGCAGTTGCAGCTTGGCCACGCCCTCTACCCTGGGCTCCTCTCGCTCTCCGGCCCGGGACCCTCTACCTGGTACTCGGTCTCAAGGCTTGCGTTAGCCGGCGCAGACTGGTAGAAACACTGCTTTCTTCCCGCAGGCAGCAGGAATGTGAACTCGCCGTCCTGGATCGGTGGGGGCCCTGCTCCTCTCACCCCCACTGACGGCAGTAGGAGCCACAGGGCCAAGGCTAGGGCCGCGCCGGCCGCCATCATCTGGATCATTCTCTGGTCTCCTAACGGGTCGTGGCTCCTTTAAGGGCTAGCCCTACCCCCTTTACTACTCAGCGAAGCTCATTGGCAGCCGCTTCTGCCCGTTATCCGAAACCTGCGGAGTTGGGAGTGAAGGACCCTCTGTGCGCGTAGCTGCCCAAACGAAGGCCAGAAAACATTCAAACCTCTAGAGACATTTTTTTTCTAAAAGGCCCACACTTTTAGTTTCAATTGCTGGTGAAGGAAAATGGCAAAAATAAAGTATTGCGTTCTTCTCAGGCAAACATTAAGACAACTAAGGTGGAGGCTGCCGGGTCCTTCTAAGGCACAGCGGCGTGCGAAGACCCTTGGACGATCCATTCTGGGTGGAGCCGGGCCAAAGTAGAGAGTGGGCGTGGCCCCGCACGCGACCCATAGGGCTTGCATAAAAGAAGGCTCGTCGGTGTTGGGGCGGAGGATTTTTCATGTTAATGGGGGGATGACATTACCTCTAGTCTGAGCAAGACCCCAGCTTCGAAGCCCGAGTTGTCATTACCTTTGCGCCTTAGAGCCATCTCTGTATCAGTTTCCTCATCTGTAAGTTGGGGTTGATGAGAATTGCGTGAGATGAAGCCCTCGTCCACAGTGAGCACTCGGTTTTCCTTGCATAGAGTTAATAGAGGGACTTGGCCCCAAGCTGCACCCCAAGTGTCTCAAACTCAGGGGCCAGCCGCTAAGCAGAGTGATTTAGATGGCCCAGGGTAAGAAAAACGCAGTCCAGGTGTTAGAGTCAGCAGAGGAGAAGTGAAGAGGGTGTGAGCTGGGAGTTCCCTAACCCACACCATGCCTCAACCCTTTACTTGAGGCAATCACTGTATCTGGTCCTCAATTTCCTCAACTGTAAAATGGGAATGATACTAGGCCTACCTCATTGGGCTGTTGTGAAGATGAAGTTAGATAATGATGTCTAGTGCTTGCTGCAGCATAGGCCCTTATTAAATATGTTATATTCTAGGTTTATTATTCAACCATTTAACTTCTTCCTCAGACTGGTTTAGAGGATGTGAAGATGACCTCCCTTTGAAAAGCAGACAGATAAACTAAGAAGTCATTGGAGAAACCGACTTTGCTTAGTGATTTCATCTAAACATAAGAAAAATGTGTAGATGGAAATTTTAACTTTTATTTATTGATCTTAGAGAAAGGGAGAAACATGGATTTGTTGTTCCACTTTTTTACACCTTCACTGGTTGCTTCTTGTATGTGCCCTGATTGAGGATGGACCCCTCACCCCTCCTTATTTGTTTGTTAGGTTTTTTTTTGGTACGTGCCCCTAGCAGAAACCGAACCTGGGACTCTCTGGTCCGCAGGCCAGCACTCCAGCTGCTGAGCCAAACTGGCCAGCCTTCACCCCTCCTTGGCATACTATCTGGCCAGGCCAGAAATTTTGAGGTTTTAAATAGAGAACCTGGAGAGGTTGGCAGGTAGTAACAATTACTCTTTAAATACAGCTGGTGGCTGTCAGCACTCTCCGGCATTTGGAGAACTTAGGGAAGGAAGTAATAACATTTTGAAATGTCAAAGTTCATGTACGGTTGGTTGGTATTTCATTTCACTAGTTTTTCTTTATTTTTTATTTTATTTTTTGTGGTACATGCCCCTAGCGGGAATTGAACCTGGGACTCTCTCGTCCACAGGCCGATGCTCAACCACTGAGCCAAACTGGCCAGGGCAGTTTTTTATCATTCAGACTCTTCTTGGACATTTTGTGGAGGATAAGTGACTCCTTTTTTCTTTTTTTGAACGTACATTTATTAAAGCTGGAGACAGTGAAACAAAGGAAGAGCTTAGAAGAAGCAACAGGAAGAGAGCCTGGGCAGTACTGTTTTGGCCCTCTAAAAACATTGTAGGAAAGAAGTAAGCCACATGGAGTTTCGGACTCACTGAGAAGTAAAAGTTACGGTGACAGAAGTGGGCCAAGGTGGGTTTGCTTTTAGCTTACTGAAAAGCCAGAGAAACGGGGGCCTTGGAGACAGATTCCAGGGTTCGTTTGAGAAGAGCTACTGCTGCCCACTGCTCCCCTGGTTGCAGGTTTTGTGGGGGCCCGTAGAGTTTAGGAGGGGTGTGGGTATGCTCCAAGGAGAACATGCTGATTCCTTTTATTTATTCCTTACCTAAGTATATTTTAAAAATATGTTTTTATTGATTTTTTAGAGAGAGAGAGGAAGGGAGAGAGAAAAACACTGTTGTGAGAGAAAAACATTGATTGGCTGCTTCCTGCACACCCTCTGCTGGGAATTGAGACTGCAAATGGACATGTGCCCTGACCAGGAATCATACCAGAACCTCTCAGTCCATGGGATGACACTCAATCCACAGAGCCACACCAGTGGGCGTTCTTTTTTTTTTTTTTTATCCTTACCTGAGGACATTTTTCCATTTTTTGTTCAGATAGAGTGGGAGGGAGAGAGAAGAAGAGAGAGAGAGAGAGAGAAACATCGACGTGAAAGGGACACATCTAGTGGCTGCCACCCACACGACCCAACCAGGGCTGGGGACAAACTGCAACTGAGGTACGCGCCCTTATCAGGAACCAAACCCCGGTCTCTCTGGACAGCAGGCCGATGCTCTAACCATTGAGCCAAACCGGCCAGGGCTTTAATTGATTTTTTTAATGAGATGAAATTCACATTATATAAAATAAACCATTTTACAAGGAATAACTCAGTGGCATTTAGTACATTCACTATGTTGTGCAACCTCCACTTCTACTGACTTCCAAAACATTTTCATCAACCCAAAAGGAGAAACTGTACTATTAAGCAGTTACTCTTCATTCCCCCATTCACCCCAGCTTTTGGCAGAAGGTGTATTTACAGATTCTGGATTTTTCATGTAAGTGGAATATGTGACCATTAGGTAATTTCACTTTGTATAATGTTTTCAAGGTTCATCATCATAGCATGTATCAGTATTTAATTCTTTTTATGGTTAGATAATCACATGGATTATCACAATTTAGTTAACCATTCATCTGCTGATGGACATTTGGTTTGTTTCTACCTTTTGGCTATTGTGGACAATGCTGCTGTGAACATATGTGTATATGTATCTACTTTCAGTTCTTTGGTGTATATCCCTAGGAGTGGAATTGCTGGATCATATGATAATTCTACATTTAACTCTTTGAGAATCTGCCAGACTTTTCCACAATGTCTGCACCATTTTCATTCCCACCAACCATGTATGAGGGTTCCAGTTTCTCCACATTCTCATCAACACGTTATTTTCTATTTTATTTTTATTATAGTCATCTTAATGGGTGTGAAGATGTATCTCGTGGTTTTTATGCAATTTTTATTAATTTATTTTTGTTACAGATGTTTCTCCTTTTTTCCTCCTAGACACCCTCCTCCTGATCCTGCCCTCCCCCGGCATTGTTGTATATGTCCATTGGTTACACATACATGAGTATAAGTTCTTTGGTTTATTTCATCCCTTCCCCCTATCCCCCTCCCCTGAACCGTACTTTTCTATGTCATTGTGGTTTTTTTGTTTTGTTTTGTTTTGTTTTTATCCTCACTCGAGGACATTTTTCCATTTTTTGTTCAGATAGAGCAGGAGGGAGAGAGAGGAAGAGAGAGAGAGAGAGAAACATCGATGTGAAGGGACACATCGAGTGGCTGCCACCCGCACGACCAACCAGGGCCGGGGACAAACTGCAACCGAGGTACGTGCCCCTAACGGGAACCGAACCCGGGTCTCTCTGTACCGCAGGCCGACGCTCCAACCGCTGAGCCAAACCGGCCAGGGCGCATTGTGGTTTTGATTTACATTTCCCTAATGATGTCGAGCATCTTTTCATGTGCTTGCTGACCATTTGTTCAAGTCTTCACCCATTTTAAAATTGGGTTGTTTGTCTTTGTTGTTGAGTTATAAGAGGTTTGTTTTTTTTTTTTCTTTATTGATTTGAGAGAGAGAGAGAAACATCAATGAGAGAGAACATTGATAGGCTGACTCCTGCATGCCCCACACCAGGGATTTGGCCTACAACCTGGAATCCATCCAGCGACCTCTTGGTGTATGGGTCAACGCTTAACCACTGAGCCATACCAGCCAGGCGAGTTATAAGAGTTTTTAAAATAAATATTATAAGAGAAAAGGGAAGAAAGGAAAAAACAATGAGCCCGGCCGGTGTGGCTCACTGGTTGAGCGCTGACCCATGCACTAAAATGTCACCGGTTTGATTCCCTGTCAGGGCAGATGCCCAGGTTGTGGGCTGAATCCCCAGTGGAGGGCATACAGGAGGCGGCCAGTTGATGTTCTCTCATCGGTGTTTCTATTTCTCTTTCCCTCTCCCTTCCTCTCTCTCTAAAATCAATAAAGAAAAAAAAAATTTTTTAAACAATTAAAAAAAGAAAAAACCTCTCCCACTCAGCAGATCTGTGAAGTTTCAATGCTTCACCAGGGCATTTCCAGCTCTGCCTTAGCCCTCACTTCTTGTTTTTTCTGAACCTAGAGATCAGCCAGAGGTGAAAGCTTATCTTCTCCCATCTTTTCTGATCCTTTGTTCTGCCTTGGGGATGCACAATACTTTCTAAATTCCCCAGTATATATGGGTGCTTTTGAATGCTCTAATTACCCAAAGAAACTTTCACCCCAGTTTATCCTCCCAGCTTTTGGTATATCAATCATTGTTCTCAGTTGTAATCTTTTGCCCCAGGAGGCTGTAGGTTTTCTTTGCCTTACACCAGTATATGTTTTTATTGATTTTTTAAAGAGAGAGAGGGAGATAGAGACAGAAACATCGATGTGAGAGAGATACATCGATCGGCCACCTCCTGCACACCCCCCACTGAGGATTGAGCCCAAAACCCCGGTCATGTGCCCTAACCAGGAATAGAACCAGGACCTGTCAGTCCATGGGACGACACTCAATCCACTGAGCCACACCAGCTGGGCTCAACCTTTTTTTTATCTATGGCACACATAAACTAGTTACTAAAATTCAGGAGCACACCAAAAGATATATTTTTTGCCGATCTGACAAAAAAAAATAGGTATAATTTCGATTCATTCACACAGGACGGCTATTGTGTTGGCTGTTGTCATTTTTTAAAATTTATTTGACAATCTAAAGCAAAAGAGGTCAGGGCTATGATTAAATAGTCAGGTATTGCATGTTTTAAAAATTCTTCTGGCACTCCAGTGTGCTTCTTGTGGCATACCAGTTGAAAATCGCTGTCTTACACTGTTTTCCAGGAGTAAATTTGAGTCATATAGACAAGTGTCTGGAGTTAGTCTTGCAGGTAGCTCCCAGACATGTCAGAATAGACAAACACAATACTGTAAGAATGAGGGCTAGTCTTCTCCCTCAGGAGCCAGGGACACAGGCGGCTATCTTTAAGACCTGCCATGCTGGGGAAGGAGATGAGGGAAGACACAGTTTTCCTGCAGTATTCATGTTGCCTTTTTTTCTGATTGATCATTTACTTGGTTGGCTAAATATTTGGCTCTTTTCCAAAGTTTAGATAAAGTTGATTCTGGCTGTCTTTGCTCAATTTGTCAATGTTTCTGTGGAGAGACAGGCACTTGGAGCTCCTGACTCCTCCATTTTCACTGACATCTGGGGTCTGAATGGATGATTCTTATTTCCCTTTATTAAATTTTTTTTAAAAACTACCCCCTCCCTATTATTCAACAAATATTTACTGAGTGTCTGACATTGTGAATAAAACAGACACTGTCCATGTCCTTGTGGAGCTGTCATCCTAGTGTTGCTCCACTAAGATGATTTTAGGGAGTCATAGGTGCTAAGAAGTAAATGCTAGGTTGTAGGTAGGGTGGCTTATTTAGCCTGGGTGGAATCAGGGAAGGCTTCCCTGAAGAGGTAGCATTGAAGCTCAGACTTGAAGTAGAAGAGACAGTAGGAGGCAAACAGAGAGAACAGGGCCCTGAGGTCAGAAGGCACTCAGAGGATTCAAGGGGCAGAAAGGCGGTGATGAGGGTGAGAGGAGTCAGCACAGGCCACATTGTGTAGGGTCCCTATTCCCTTTGTAGTATTGGCCTAGAATCTTAGCCTGGGGTTCTTATAATCATGGGGAGTTGGCGGACTGGCTTCTAGAGGTCAGGGATCCCCTGAAATGATAACCAAAAATTCTAAGAGTGTGTGCTAGCAATTTTTGTGTGCCCCCTCCCTGAGTTCACCCTTCCCTGTACCACCCTGTGCCCTGGAGTGCTGATCCCTGTGCACTGGATCAACCTGGCTACATGAGTTTGGCCCTGGCAGGAGATCTGAGGCCTGGAGAAGAAGGTCTAGGTATATATCCCCTGGCTCCCACCCTGTTGGTCTGTATCTCTCTACCAAACCCGGCAACTCCAGCTCTCTCCAAATTCCAGGACCACCTCCTCCCTAGCACCTTTAGGCCTAAGCTGGTAACAGCTCCCAGACTACAGGAATCACCATACCTTGTTGATTTCCCTTCATCCTGTCCATGATTCCTCAGTTGTGCCTCTTACGTATGACAGCTGTGTGACAGGTGACCGATGCAGGCATGTGTTGCTGTTTTTTCTGAACTCAGTTCCAGGTTATAGAGTCCTGTGCCATATTAAATGCTCCCAGGATGAAGTCCTTACATACATCCAAGGTCCTTCACACATACTATTTCCTCTACCTAGCGTGTCACTTCCCCCATCTCCTTCTCAGGCTTTTGGAGTCAGATATCTACATGAAATCTCTTAATTCTGTCTCCTACACATCAAAGCCAAGAATCTCTCAACTCTTCTCTTCTATACACACAGAATAGAGCCACAAAAATAGACTGAATGAGTATGTTTTGGCTTTCAGGTCAAACAATTAAATATTAATGGTTCACTGTAAGCTAAGCACTGTGGTAGGCATTGGGAAACTGACCCCATCCCTGTGCCTTTGGAGGAAGAGAGCTGGATGAATTCAATAAATTCAAGCATGTTCTGTGAACCACCCTGACCTAATCTAGTTAACATTTACAGGATACATCAAACAACTGAAGGGTGTTTTTTATATATTTTAAGGGCCAATAGGATGTGGATCAAAATATGCTGGGCCACTAAAGAATTAATAAATTTCAAAGGATTGAAATTATATGGAGTATACTGTCTGACCACAAAGGAATTAAATTAAAAATCACTAATATTAAGTTATCAAAAAAAGTGCAAATATTTATAAATTAAGCAACATCTAAATAAAGTATGGTTCATAGAAAAAATTAACAGGAGCCCTGGCCAGTTTGGCTCAGCGGTTAGAGCGTCTGCCTGCGGTCCGGAGAGATCAGGGTTCGGTTCCCGCTAAGGGCACGTACTTCGGTTGCAGTTTGTCCCCGGCCCTGGTTGGTCGTGCGGGTGGCAGCCACTCGATGTGTCCCTTCACATCGATGTTTCTCACTCTCTCTCCCTTCCTCTCTCTCCCTCCCACTCTATCTGTACAAAATATGGAAAAATATCCTCGGGTGAGGATAAAAAAAAAAAAAGAAAAAATTAACAGGAAATAAGATAATATTTCTAACGATGATAATGAAACACAATACAGTTGTCCTTTGCCACTTCACGCTTCAACGTTTTCAGCTTCACTCTATTGTGGAAAGTCCAAGTGCGAAATGGCGAGGGACGACTGTATATAAATAAAGAATCCTACTTCATGGAAATTCATTTATCGCGGTAGAGTCTAGAACTGATTAACCACGATATACAAGGGCCGACTGTAAATCAAAACATGTGAGATGCAGTTAAAGCAGTGCTTAGAGGGAACTGTATAGCTTTACATGCTTATATTAGAAGATAAAGGTTTAGAATCAATGATCTGCCTTGGCCAGGTTGCTCAGTTGGTTGGAGTGTCATTCCATACACCAAAAGGTTGTGGGTTCGATTCCTGGTCAGGGCATATACCTAGATTGCAGGTTTAATTCCTAGTCGGGGTGCATATGGGAGGCAACCAATTGATGTTTCTCTCTCGCTCTCTAAAATCAATAAAAACATATCCTCAGGTGAGGATTTTTTTTAAAATGGTGAAAAAAATCTATAATCTAAGTTTCCATTTTAAGAAGCTAATAAAAGAAGAGCTGATTAATCACAATGTAAATAGAAGAAAGAAAAAAGAAAGACCAAAAAGTAAAGAAATAGAAAACAGAAATTAGAGAAAAACAATGAAGTCAAAAGTTAATACTTTCAAAGATTAATAATACTGATTAGTTTCTAGCAAGACTAATCAAGACACACACACACGCACACACACGCACATATTACCAAAGACCCCATAGACATTAAAAGAATAACAAGAAAACGTGAACAGTTCTATACCAACAGTTTCTACAACTTACATGAAATGGACAAATTCCTTTGAAACAAGCATACTAGTTGCAATAAAAGAAAATTACAAGACACTGTGTGAGAATTCAGTAAAAGAATTATTCTAAGGCCCTGGCTGGTTTGGCTCAGCAGTTAGAGTGTTGGCCTGCAGTCCAGATAGACCCGGGTTCGGTTCCCACTAAGGGCACGTTATCTCAGTTGCAGTTTGTCCCCGGTCCTGGATGGGTCATGCGGGTGGCAGCCACTCGATGTGAACCTTTCATGTTGATGTCTCTCTCTCTTCCTCCCACTCTATCTGAACAAAAAATGGAAAAAATGTCCTCGGGTGAGGATTAAAATTTTTTTTAAATTAATTTAAAAAAATTATTCTAAGTCCAGAGAGATCTGGAAAAGATTTCCCAGAGTGATATTTAAGCTGAGACCTGAAGGAGCAGGATTTGACCAGGGTGAAAGAATTATGCCTAAAATCCCTGATGTTGGAATGAGGTTTGGGTGTCCAAAGAAAAAAAGTCTGCTCTAGTGGCCCTTTTTGGTGTTTGGTGAACACAAGCTTATGTCCTTCCTGGGTATAAATCTCCAGGTGGACCCACTTGATTTGAACAGAAATGTTTACAGACCAAAGCAAACCTACTGGTCAACAAACTTTTGAAAGTTTCTGTGCTGTAACTGTAAGGCAATTTATCCTGCAAAGTATATCACTGCCTCAGTTCTGGAACTAGTGTTTTACCTGGCTGGTGAAGCTCCTGAGACTTCTCTTCTCTGTGGCTTCCCATTGGAAATGCTCACATCCCACTCAGCATTGTGCTTTGTACCATGAGTTCTTTGGATCTGTCTGCTCCTCTTAGCCGCATTCTACAGAGCAACAAGATAAGGCTTCAAAGAAGGACCATGTCTTGCCTGAGGTTACAGAGGCCAAGCCCTAACCACCATGCCCTATTAACCTCAACCTGGCATGTATATCCACTTTGGCACTGATTGGGCTGCGGTGTATGTCTTGGGAATGGGTTTCTCAAACAACCCATGGTCCTTACCCTTCCTCATGCCCAGGAGTCCTCTCAGGGGTAGAAAAAATAAATATACCCTGACCATCTTCATTTGTTTGTCCCTCCCATCTGCAGAACCATGGCTACCAAGGCTCAGAGAGGTGCTAGGGTCTGATATGTATCAATGGAAGGGGTGGGGAGAGGAGAGAGTCTCTTTCACTACCCAAGTATGTATGCAACTTCCTGCCAGTGAGGAAACACTCTGCTAGAATCAGCCCAGCTTCTCCTTTCCCTGCTCTGGCCTCACAGAGGAGTTGTGGCGAGCCCTGAGCCACACTGGCCTCAACCAGATTGCCCGGCCAAAGCTGGAGAAGCGATGCCCTGGACTGTCCTGCTCTTTGTGGCCGGTGAGCCTGACACCCCTGCACTACCCCCCTGCCACTCCCCCATGCCTGCCCACCTTGACTCTGCTCTGGGGGCAGGAGCCAGTGCCTAAGGCTGCCCTCCCCAGGTGCTAGAGGAGACTGAGCCCTGACAGATTTGTCCCAGAGACTTGGAAATGTCCCAAGAGCATGGATTTCTTTTATTGGGCTCCTCATTACCTCCACATCATGGTTATCAGAAATGCCACCCCTCTGGATAGAGCGGTGCTCACGCCCTATGACTCAGCCCCATTGGCCTCTGAGGCTCCCACCTCCAGGGCCAGAGCAGCAGATCTGCTGTGGGACAAGGGAAAGCTTGTGTAGACCTCACCCGAGCCAGATATACACTGTGCTCAGGAGCCTGGGGGCAGCTGGGGAGACACTGATCCCTCCTGTAGGAAACTGAACCCCGAAATCTATATTCCTCACCATAGCCTGGGAATCAAGATAGAACATCTCAGCCCTCTCCTCTTCCCACTCTCCCCATCCCTTATTTCCTCCAGCCACCCTGGCCTCCTTAAATACCCCATACCCCTCCCAGCTCTTGCCCATGCTGTTCCCTCATGCCTGAAATGCTTTCCCTCAGCTCTGTGTCACTTCTTCAGGGAAGCTTTCCGTGGCCACCCCAACTGATGCAGCCTCCTTATTAGTCTTGTGCTTCACAGCATTTCTTGTCTCCTCCAGAACATCAGCTCCCTGATGCAGATGTGTCTGTCTGTCTGCCTATCTCATTCACTGCTCTGTCTTCACCACCTAAAACAGGGCCTGGCACATAGTCAGTGCTGTTGATTGAAGTAATAAGAATGTAACTGCATTGCTGTGTAATAACCACTGATATGAAAAAATAATTCAAATGCAGTGATCCCTCACCATGTGCTACACAGTTGATTCCCCAACATTGCAGTGGGATGGGGATAACTATCTTCCAATTGTACATAAAAGTCAAGAAGTTTACCAACAAGTTAGAATCTATCTTGTTTTGAATGTCTTCTAGAACATATAAAAAGTAATTTAAAAAATGTATATTGCCCTGGCCGGTTTGGCTCAGCGGTTAGAGCGTCCGCCTGCGGTCCGGAGAGACCCGGGTTCGGTTCCTGCTAAGGGCATGTACCTCAGTTGCAGTTTGTCCCCGGCCCTGGTCGGTCGTGCGGGTGGCAGCCACTCGATGTGTCCCTTTCACGTCGATGTTTCCCTCTCTCTCCCTCCCACTCTGTCTGTACAAAAAATGGAAAAATATCCTCGGGTGAGGATAAAAAAAAAAAATGTATCTTGCCCTGGCCGGTTTGGCTCAGCAGTTAGAGCATCGGCCTGTAGTCCAGAAAGACCCGGGTTCGGTTCCCACTAAGGGCACGTACCTGGTTGCAGTTTGTCCCCGACCCTCGTTGGGTCATGCAGGAGGCAGCCACTCGATGTGTCCCTTTCACGTCAATGTTTCTCTTCCTCTCTCTCCCTCCTACTCTATCTGAACAAAAAAATAGAAAAATGTCCTCAGGTGAGTATTAAAAAAAAAAAAAAGTATCTTGCCCGGCCCGTGTGGCTCAGTGGTTGAGTGTGGACCCATGCACCGAGAGGTCATCGGTTTGATTCCTAGTCAGGGCACATGCCCATGTTGTGGTCCAAATCCCCAGGGGGGGCATGCAGAGGCAGCCAATCGATATTCTCTCTCATCCATGTTTCTATCTCTCCATCTCCCTTCCTCTCTCTCTAAAAGCAATAAAGAAAAAAAATTAAAAATAAAATAAATAAAAAATGTATCTTCCATGATACATGTATAAGAATTTCTATAATTGTATGTATGCCTTTGATGTATTTTCCCCTCAAAATTATCAACTGTGTGTTTGACAAGTGAAAAATATGTAATCAGTTTTGGGGAAGAAAACAAGGCCTAAAGAGGGGGAGCCACTTGCCCAAAGCCACACAGCTAGGTTGGCCCCTGCTCTAATCACCTTTTCACCTGACATCCCTGATTCTGCATTGTAGGCTCCATGGCGATACCAGCACCCTCCATCCTGCTGGTGCCCCCACACCCCAGCAGTCAAGAGGATCCTATCTACATTGAATGCATGGCCCCCAGGGGCTTCCCAGGGGCCAATTTCACGCTGTACCGAGGGCAGAAGGTGGTCCAGCTCCTGCAGGCCCCTGCAGACCAGTTCAGGGTCACCTTCAACCTGAGTGGTGGCAGCTGGGAGGCTGCAGGGGGAACATTTCACTGCCAGTATGGCGTGTTAGGCGAACACAGGCAACCACAGCTGTCAGACTTCAGTGAACTTGTGCACGTTTCCTTCCCAGGTAAGGTCTTCTCATCAGTCCTCACTGCCTGGGCTCCATTTTCTCACTACCAAACCTTTCCATGTGCTATTCCCTCTGCTTGGAAGTTGTTACAAGACAAACCAGGCTTCCAAGTTGCCAGGACTTACTCACTTTTCCGGTTTAATCCTCACAGTCACCCCATGTGATGGGTATAAGTTTCCCCATTTGGCAGATGAGAAAACCAAGGCACAAGAGATGAACTTTCCCAGTCACACAGCTAGCAGGCAGCAGAGCTGGGATTCCTCTGGCCTCCAAAGCCCAGGCATTAAATCTGCATGCACTGCCGCCACCTCCCCTCCTTGCCATATAACAGTTTAGAGCACCTTCTGTGTACCAGGCACTGTCCCTAGCGGTGCAGGCTCAGCAGTAAATGAACTAGACAGTGTTCCTGCCCTCTTGCAGCTGACATTCTGAACGGCTGGAGACAGACTATAAACAAGGAGTCTGATAATTATTTGATCTGCCAGTGGAGGGCAAGTAAAATGCCAAGGATGAAATACAGCCTGGTGAAGGGTGTCATTTTAAATACAGAGAAGAGTGGTCAGGGAACACCTCTCTGAGGAGGCAATGTTTTCTTTTGTTATTGTTGTTTTAGAATTTTTTTTTTTTGGTATGTGCCCCTAGAGGGAACTGAACCCAGGACTCTCTGGTCCACAGGCTGACACTCCAACAGCTGAGCCAAACCGGCCAGGGCTAGAAAATTTTTTTCTTTATTGATTTTAGAGACAGAGGAAGGGAAAGAAAGATAGAAACATCAATGAGAGAGAACATCAATTGGTCACCTCCTGCATGCCCCCCACTGGGGATCGGGCCCACAATCTGGGCAAGTGCTCTGACTGGGAATCGAACCAGTGACCTCTTGGTGCATGGGTCGATGCTCAATCATTGAGCCACACCAGCCAGGCGAGGAGGCAATGTTTGAGGAAATACCTGAATGATAAGGAGCCAGCCACATGAATGTCTAGAGTAGGAGAGTTCCAGGTAGAAGAAGCAGGCTGTGCAAAGGTCCTGAGGCTGGGTTGTACTTGGTATGTTTGAGAAACATGGAAGCACTCTTGATTAAAGGCTAGTGAGCAAGGAGGAAAGTAGGGAGAGACTAGAGCAGGGAGGTAGAAAAAGGGAAGGACTCTGGCTTTTTAGATGAGTAGGACAGAAGTCCTGGAAGGGCTTTTGGTCTTTCCAGGACAGGGAATGGGTGTGGGCTCTGGATTAAGAAACGGGAAGGAGGAAGGAGCCTCCAGGTGAAGCCTCTGTGTCACCATCAATTGGAACTTTCCAGCTGCAAAGAGAACTTTGTTGCCAGCAGAGGCTCGCTCAGTGATGACAGAACAGTCTCTGTGTCCTTCCCAGCCTTAACTGAGTTCCACTATCAAAGGCCCCCTTCTCTTACCTTGGTCCTGTGGTCTCAGAGTGGGGAGGTGACAACCCTTGCCCCTCCCTTCCCTGGCCCAGATGACTGAATGAACAAAGCTAACACTGTGAAAACACCATGTGTGCCTCTCTTCTTCCCCCTCCTGTCTTTGCTCCTGACGTACACTGGGGTCAGGGCATGTGCTCCCTGAGAGATCCCCTCTCTCTCCAGGGAGGGGCAGCCAAATCCTTTACAGAGAAAATTCTGGAACTGGGGCTTCATGCTTCTGTGGCTGACCTCTGTGTGGGCCTCATGGTCCACATGTCTGGGGGTGGATGTCCTGTAATCACCTGGTACCCATGCTTGAAGCCAGAAAGAATTTTCAGGCTTCAAGTAACTGAAAACTTGACTCAAACTGGCTTCAACAACAAAGGGGGATTTGTTTACTCACTGAACTGAAGTCAGTTCACAGTACTGAAGTCAGTTCACAGTTCTGATTTCAGGCATGGCTGGATCCAGGTGCCCAAAGGTGTAGGAATCATTTGCCACCTCTCAGTTTAGCTTTCTTCTGTGTCTTATTCTTAGGCAAGCCCTCCCCATCATGGTGGCAAAATGGTGTCCAGCAGCTCCAGATGTATATCCTACCAGCTTTGTAGTACTGGCTAGAGGTGTAAACCTTTCTTCCCAGCAGTGGCCTATCCAAAGTCTCAGAATTAGCTCTCATTGGCTCACCTTGGGTCACATGTCCATCTCTGAACCAATCACAATGACTAGGGGGAAGGGAATGTGCTAATTTGATAGATACAAAGTTTGCTGGTCCCTAGGGTCCAACTGCACACAAGTCACATAGTTGGGGGATAAGAGGGGGCAGCTGGCTCCAGCAAGATAACCTGGAGGAATGACAGTTGTCCTACCTGCTCCTGTGCCTCCACAACTCCATGACCTGCCCACTCTCTCTTTTCTCATTTTCTTCTAGCGCCCATTTGGATCCTGGCACTCTCCTTGAGCCTGGCTGGAGCCCTCCTCCTTGCTGGGCTGGTGGCTGTTGCTGTGGTGATCAGAAAAGGTAACAGCAGGCAAAGAAAGCATGGCCCATGGGCTGCCAGTATGCCACCCCTGGAATGTGTAAATGCACTTCCACTCACACCCATGTTTTAGGAGCACAGAATTGGGGAGGTCTTACTCCAAAACTTAGCAGTGAAGAAACTTCCAGAAGTATGATGGTAGTGGGCAGGGGAAATTGATATATATTTAATTATGGTTAAGTATTCATAACATAAAATTTACCTTTTAAAATGTCAGTTCAGTGGCATTAAGCACATTCACATTGTTGTACAGCCATGACCACCACCCATCTCCAGAACTCTTTTTTCTTAATCCTCGTGTGAGGAAATGCTCATTGATTTCTAGAGAAAGAGGGAGAGAGAGAGAGAAAGAAACATAGATCTGTTGTCTCCTGCATGCGCACCCCAAACAGGGATTGCCCTGACCGGGGATTGAACCCACAACCTTTTGATGTACAGGACAATGCTCCAACCAACTGAGTCACCTGGCCAGGCCTCCAGAATTCTTTCATCTTCTCAAACTGAAATTTTGTCCCCGTTAAACATTAACTCCCCATCCCCCTCCACCCATCCTCTGGCACCCACTGAAATTACTTTGTTAAAAATCCTCACCCGAGGATATGATTTTATTGATTCCAGAGAGAGAGGAAGGGGGAGAGAGAGAGAGAGAAACATCAATCCATTGCCTCTCATACAAGCCCTGACAGGGTATCAAACCTGCAACCTAGGTATGTGCCCTGACCAGGAATCGAACCCACAACCTTTTGGTGTAAGGAACAACCCTTCAACCAACTTAGCCACCTGGCCAGGGCCAGACACACTTTTATTTTTAGTTATTTATTTATTTAAATAAATTTTATCTTTTTTTTGAGAGAGAAACATGGGTGTGAGAGAGCTACATTGATTGATAGGCTGCCTCCTGCATGCCCCCTACTGGGGATCGAGCCCACAATCCGGGTATGTGCCCGGCCAGGAATTGAACCAGGACCTCTCAGTCCATGGAGCAAAACAAAGCTCAATCCACTGAGCCACAATGGCCAGGCCAGAAATCTGGTGTTTTTTTTTTAATATCTGCTGTTTTTCAGATGTTGAGAAAGTGAAGTCCAGTTGAAATTTTTTTTCTCTTCTCACTGAATGTCCGTATAATAAAGAAATTGAAAATGTAGCCACCATTTTTTTTTGTTTGTTTTTGTTTTTTGTTGTTTTTATTCTCATCCAAGGACATTTTTGCATTTTATCTTCAGATAGAGCAGCAGGGAGAGAGGAAGGGAGAGAGAGAGAGAGAGAGAGAGAGAGAGAGAAACATCGATGTGAGGGAGACACACCTAGTGGTTGCCACCCACTTGACCCCAACCAGGGTCGGGGACAAACTGCAACCAAGGTACATGCCCTTAGCGGAAACCGAACCCAGGACTCTCTGGTCTGCAGGCCGATGCTCTAACCACTGAGCAACCGGTCAGGGCTGTAGCCACGATTTTTAACAAGAAAATGAGTTTACTATCTAAGGGCCTTTTTTTTTGTAGGCCACATACAATCACCAAGGATCATTTATTTAGTCAAATGTGTCCCACCCGCTCCTAAAACAAAAACAAAAACCAAATACACACACACACACACACACACACACACACAATTTAACATGCTTATACTTGTTTGAAGTCTTTACCAACACACATTACTCATATACTTGGGGAAATAAATGTTTGTAGTTCTGTTGAATGACAAATTTGCCAGGGAAGAAGGCAAGTCTAGGTCACAAATGTCTGAGGGGGGCTTTTGGGTTTTAGAAACTTGCAACCAGGATGTACCCAGGATCAAAATCTAACAAATGCTTATTTATTTTTTGTTCCCCAGTTAAAGTAAAAAAAATGCAGAAGAAAAGGTGAGACCATCCCTGGAGACCCTCAGAGGGTGGTTTGGGGAAAAGAAATATTCAGTCCCGGGGCAAGAGTTCCTGATGGGTGTTAGGGACTCTAAGAGCTGGCCAGGTTCTGGGAACAGAAGGGCACTTCCCTGGCTGTGTGGGAGCTCCGCTGCCAACAGCACCCTCTGATGGGAGGGCCCCTTAATAGGAATAGGGGTGCGGGGCCCTGGGCTAGGAGACTCTGAAGCTGGAGCTCCTTTTATTCTCATAGCAGCCCTGGAAGCAGGCACTATAAATAGCCCCATTTTCTAGATGAGGAGACTGAGGCACAGGGAGCAAGTGGCTGAGTCTTCCTCACATCCTTTTACTGCCAGCTGCCAAAAATGGTATAATCACTCTAGAAATCTACAGTGGGAGGAGGCAAGTGGCATCCCCCTGGGGTTGTGCAGTGCCCAACTTGATGCCCTGGTTCCTGGGCATGAGGATGTCCCAACTGGTCACTGGTTTCTCCCTCTAAGAGGGGTGGACACCCTGCTGCCTAGTGGCAGACAGCTAGCAGCAGCCCTGGGATGGAATCTTGACTTCATCTGGCTTGTGGGACTTTTGCAAGAGAATTTCCACCTGAGAGGATTCAGGGTGGGTGGGGAACAAAGGCCAAGTTTGGTGCCTAGAAAAAGCCTCCTGCCTGAGATGGCATCACTCTCTTCCCAATCCCTTTGCAGAGAGCAAGAATCCTGTTGGGCCCAGATTCACTTCACCACCACAGGTTTGTGCCTCCTACTTGATCCTGCTGTCCCTACCCCTGCTCCCAGGTGGGGTTCACTGCCTCAAAACACTATAGGCATCAGTACTCACTACAGAACCTCTTCTGGGGCTGATCACTTCCCTTAAGGGCAAGAATACACTCTCTCCCCTTTCCAACTCCCCTCACCAGGTTTCACCTCTCACGTTCTCTCCTTGCCTCATCCTTGGACCTTTAATGCTTGCTGGTCTCTGCCTAGAGCACTCTTCTTCCTCTGGTATTAGTCTGAAGATCATGTCCTCCAGGAAGCCTTTCTTGACTCCCTAGACAGGGTTTGCACTTTCTATTTACATGCTCCCAACAGGCACCCTATCATTCTTCTTACCCCTTAGTAGAAACACAATCAAGTAATCATTACCTGTTGAGTATGTAATATTTGCCTCCAGCAGTGGACGGTCAGCTTCCCGGGGGACACACTACGTCTGTCTTGTCCACTGGAGCGCCAGGGTGCTTTCACAATACCTATCACCACCTCAAATGGAGCCCCATTTGAGGTCCAAACGTGCTGTTCTTCCGGCTTCCACCAGGGGGCGAGGGGCAGCCAGTCTGTGATGCACAATGTTCAGGAAGGGGCCCCAAATGGAGAACCTCCATCCTCCTACTTCTTTCACTGTCCCACACATTTCTTGACCACCTACTGTGTGTTGTGATCTCGATGACCAAGACAGAGGTGGTCTTTGACAACAAGCTCACACTCCAGTGGGGAAACAGCTGATGTTGGCCCGGTCCTGTGGGGGGTTGGGAGGGGGGTTCCCCAAAGAAGTGACATTTAAGCAGAGACCTTCAGGAGGCGCTTGGGGACAGCCTGGGCGGTGGAAGGAGCTGAGAGGTCTTTCTGAACACCCATTTTCCGGAGGGCAACGAAAAGCTGCTGAAGGAAGACTCGGAGCATAAGAGGGACAGGTTGCGATGTAATGTGCATCTGTGAATGGTTCATCCTGCAGAATGGCTGCAAGGGAACAAAGAGGATGTAGGAGATGGACCCTACCCCCTACCTCAGGATCAACATTGAACGTATGGGCTTAGGGAAATGGGGGTGAGCAGGGAATTTAAACTGGCCCTAGGTTTCCCTCTCTCTTTCTCTTCCAGACATGTCCTTTGATAATTCCTTGTTTGCCATCTCAACGGTAAGTTCATTTCTTGGTCCCGGTTTTCTGCTGACTGTCCAAACCCAGGAAGGCAGGGGCTACCAGCAGGCTGTGTTGACCTATTGTATCTGAGTGGGGACAGGTGTGTGGGGCGGTGGTGACTGTGAAAAGCCCAGAATCAGGGAGCAGGGATTTGTTTGTGAGCTGAGAGCTGGTTCTGAGACACCCTGGGATTGGAGGCAGCCACATCCAGGCCACTGTATGGCAATGGGCAGGCCACTGGGGGTGCTTGCTGTTAGGGTCAGCACAGTCTCTGTGTTCAGTTGGGTCAACTCCTCAGAATAGTGACAGAGGGGACTAAGGAGGACCTGGTCGCGTTTTGGGGGTCATAGAGTCTTGTGACAATCTGATGTACACTGTAGCCCACTCCTCGTATAAAGAAAAGCTTCTTGGCCCTGGTCGGTTTGGCTCAGCGGTTAGAGCATCAGCCTGCAGTCCAGAGAGACCCGGGTTCGGTTCCTGCTCAGGACATGTGCCTCCATTGCAGTTTGTCCCCGGCCTGGTTGGTTGTGCGGGTGGCAGCCACTCGATGTGTCCCTTTCACGCCGATGTTTCTTTTTCTCTCTCTCTTCTTCCCACTCTATCTGAACAAAAAATGGAAAAATGTCCTCAGGTGAGGATAAAAAAAAAAAAAAAGAAAAGCCTCTTGCCTGGGCCAGTTTGGCTCAGCAGTTAGAGCATTGGCCCACGGACCAAAGGGTCATGGGTTTGATTCTGGTCAAGGGCATGTACCTTGGTTGTGGTTCGATCCCCAGCCCTGGTTGAGGTTGTGTGGGAGGCAACCAATTGGTGTGTCTCTCTCCAACACTATCTGAAAATCAATGGAAAAGTGTCCTCAGGTGAGGATTAAAAAAAAAGTCTCTTCTGGGAATTAAGCTTAAATATTGCTGTTGTGCATTTTCCCTTTTAGTTTAGAGGGTCTCACTACACTCCCCCCTCCTCATCAAGGGATGTTGCTTCCCCAGATCATACATGTTAGAGCTGAGATTTGAACCCCTCTGTACAACCGCATCTTGGGGTGGCCTTGGTGTTTGTACTTTATTACTCTGTTTTTTTACTAAATTAGAGATGCTGATTCATGGACACACCATAGATCAAGAAAATGTTCAGCCGCTCCTTTTCACACGGAGAGGAGTACAGGACTGAGGTGAAGGTGGCCTTACCCGAAGTGACCTCAGAGGTCCCATTTGGACAAGTAGACACTTTGGGACTGCTGTTAGGGCACCTTGGGCAGAGTCTTCTACTTAAGGCACCATGATGGGGAGTGGCGAGAGGGGATGGGAGAAGCGTTGGATTGGTCATCACACTCTTCCTGGGCATCTGGACAAGAACAGGATGATGAGGCCCTCACTCCCTCAGAGCTTTTTAATTCTTATGGGGGAGACACATGATGCCAAATGGGTTAGGAGTAAGTAGGAAAAGTCACTTCTCACTTAGGAGAGCCAAGGCGTCTCAGAGATGGGCGACAAGCAGGATATAGCTGTGGAGGATTGATTCAGGCTCCGAACACATTCTTGGCACTGCATGGGTAACTGGGGTAGAGCAGAGTAAGAAGTTGATGGGTCATTTGGAGAACTTTGACTTTTACCTCAAGGGAGGTGGGAGCCATGAAGGTTTCAGAGCAGAGAAGAGACATAACCAGAGTCAGGTGCTCACAGACTGTGGGGACAACAGACTCGGAGGGTGTGGAAGAACTGGTCCAGGCACTCGAAGTGGTTTGGTCCAGCATGTTGACAGCAGAGGTGGAAGAAGTGAACAGATGCAGGCCAGGCAGATTCAGAAGTTGTGAGACATGGCACTGATTTTTTTTTTTTTTTTCCATCCTCACCCAAGGATATGTTTGTTGATTTTAGAGAGAGAAAGAGAGAGAAACATCAATGTAAGAAACATTGATCAGCCTGGCCCATGTGGCTCAGTGGATTGAGCGTTGTCCCATGGACTGAGAGGTCCCAGTTCAATTCCTGGACAGGGCATATGCCCAGGTTGTAGGCTTGATCTCCAGCAAGGGATGGGAAGGAGACAGCTGATCAATGTTTCTCTCTCACATCGATGTTTTTATCTCTCCATTTCTTTCTCTCTAAAAAAATCAATAAAAACATTAAAAAAAAAGAAACATTGATTGGCCCTGGCCGGTTTGGCTCAGTGGTTGGAGTGTTGGCCTGCGGACCAGAGAGTCCTGGGTTTGGTTCCCGCTAGGGCCATGTACCAAAAAAAAAGAAACATTGATAGGTTGCCTCCCATACCTGCCCTGACTGGGAATTGAACCCCAAACCTTTTGATGTATGGTACGATGCTTCAACTGACTGGGCTACATGGCCAGGGCATGGTGCTGATTTTTGACTAGATGATCCGACTGAAGAAGGAAGAGGAGGCATGGGGACTCCTGGGGAGGGACGGCTTAGAGGGACAAGGGACAGGCCACCTCACTCGATTATGCCCAAGAGCAGATGGAGATGTGAATCTGGAATTCTGGAGAGAGTAAGGAAGTTTAAATTGGTTCCCAGTCACTGGTATACAGATAGTGGCAAGGAAGGGGCTTGGTGCCAGGCTGTTCAGCCTTCTGAGGTCTATACTCTGGGAACAAATCCTGAGTTGTTAAGAAAACACTGGCAGGCAGGGCAAGTTCTAAAACTTTCTGTGAGATGCCTTAGGCTCAAAGCACTAGCCGGGTGATTCTTTTTAAAAAAGATACTTAAAATGGCCTGGCTGTTGTGACTCAGTGGTTGAGCATTGACCCATGCACCAAGAGGTTGCCGGTTCTATTCCCGGTCAGGGCACATGCCCACGTTGTGGGCTCAATCCCCAGTGAGGGGCATGCAGGAGGCGGCCAATAGATGCTCTCTCACAATGATGTTTCTCTCTCTCTCTCCCTCTCCCTTCCTCGAACTGGTGACCCCTTGGTGCATGGGTTGACGCTCAACCACTGACCAACACTGTCCAGGCATGAAAAAAATTTTTTTTAATTAAAAAAAAAGATACTTAAAATGAAACAATGGGAAACAGAAAAACAACTTATTTATCAGTATCTTAGTCCTGGTGACTATTTAATTATTTATTGCTATATATTTTTATTTTTTTATTATTTTTTTATCCTCACCTGAGGACATTTTTCCATTTTTGTTCAGATAGAGTGGGAGGGAGAGAGAGGAACAGAGAGAGAGAGAAAAACATTGATGTGAAAGGGACACATCGAGTGGCTACCTCCCGCACAACCCCAACCAGGGCCGGGAACAAACTGCAACGGAGGTACATGCCTTGAGCGGGAACCGAACCCTGGTGTCTCTGGACCATAGGCTGACGCTCTAACCACTGAGCATAACTGGCCAGGGTATATTGCTATATAACAGTGATACCTCGGTTCTCGAACGCCTTGACTTTCGACCAAATCGGTATTCGACCAGGAGATTCGAGAAACTTTTGTCTTGGAATCCGAACAAATATTTGGAACTCGAACTTCCGAGATGAGCCAAGTTGAGCCGAATGGCGTTCATTCGGCCCAGCGCGCCTTGCTTGCGTCATCAGTGTGAGTGCAGAGAGAGAGTCACGCTTTGTGGAGAGAGTCACGCTTTACACTGAATTTAACCCTTAGACATACTGTACACTTTTATTTCTTGTTGAGACTTATGTTTTTCTACATATTATATACAAATTAGGCCAGTAAATAGGCATTTTCTGGGGCTTGGAACGAATTAATCCAGTTTCCATTATTTCCTATTGGTTTCATTGCTTCGGTTCTCGAACAATTTGGTTCTCGACCGTCCTCCTGGAACGAATTATGTTCGAGAACCGAGGTATCACTGTATTTTTAAATTAATACTTTTTAAAAATATGAAACACATCCATATGTTAAAATTATACATACAGTAGTATTTTTGCTATCACTTAACCCTTCTCCATCCACTGGTCTCCTCTACACACACAGAAGTAACCACTGTTAGGAACTTCTTGCAAAATGTAAGCAAAGGTGAAAATAACAAATCTATATCCTCACCCTTTTATTTTTAAGATTTTTAATTTATTTTTTAGAGAGAGAGGAAGGGAGAGAGGGAGAGAAAGAAACATCAATGTGAGAGTAAAACATCCATCAGTTGCCTGCACACCTCCTACTGGGGATTGAGCCTGAAACCTAGGCATGTGACTTGACTGGAAGTCAAACCAGCAACCTTTCAGTGCATGGGACAATGCCCAACCAACTGAACCACACTGGCCAGGGTTATCCCTCACTCTTTTAAACACAGATGATAGCGTAATGCATACACTGTATGTGCAATGCTTCTTTTCCTTAATAGTACAATCTAGTGATCTTTTCTAGTTTCTTTTCTTTAACTGTGGTAGAATATATATAACAAAATGTACCTTTTAACTATTTGTTTTAATTCTTACTTGAGGATACTTTTCTATTTATCTTTAGATAGGGAGGGAGAGAGGGAAAGAGAGAGAAACATCAACATGAGAGGGACACATCTACTGGTTGCCTCCCGTATGACCTGGACTAGCGCCAGGGACGAACCACAACCAAGATATGTGCCCTTGACCAGAATCGAACCCGTCACTCTTTGGTCCTCGGGCTGATGCTCTACTGCTGAGCCAAACTGGCCAGTGCAGAATTTCCTTTCTTTCTAAGGCTGAATAATAGTCCATTGTATGTGTATACCACATTTTGTTTATCCAGCCACCCATTGATGGACACATGGGTTGCTTCCACCTTTGGGCTATTGTGAATAATGCTGCTATGAACATGGGTGTGCAAGTATCTGTTAGAGTCCCTTCTTTCAATTCTAGCTTCTTTTTGAAGTACTAGAAAGCTGTGCTGTTGGGTGAAATTAAAATGAAGCTGCTGATACATCTCTTAGCTTGTACTGTGTCACTACATTGAGGATCTGATACTTACTTTATAACACCCTATAAAGTGCAATTTTTTTTTTTTTTTTTTTTACAAACAAGGAGATAGAAGCTAGTTATGGGCCTTACTGGGGTCACCCAGCTAGGGAGGAGCAGGACTGGGAGTGGAACCCCAGCCTGCTCTCATCTGCCAGTCTTCAGTTTTTGCAAGTTTATCTCTTTTTTTTTTTTCTTTAATATATTTATTGATTTTTAGAGAGAGAGAGGAAGGAAGAGGGAGAGAGAGATAGAAACATCGATTGTGTGCCTCCCACACATTCCCTACTGGGGCTCAAGCCCACAACTGGGGCATGTGCCTAACTGGGAATCAAACTGGTGACCTTTTGGTGCATGGGAGGATGCTCAACCACTGAGCCACACTGGCTGGGCGGTTCATTTCTTCCTGACTGGCATGTGGAGTAGGAGCCTTCAAGGAGAGGGTAGACTTTTGAGGAAGCCCAGAATGGAAGGGGAGGAGATAATAGTAATAGCTTTATTCACTTAACACTTAAACCTTATAGTGTGTTGCATTAGGTGCTTTAATTCCTTTATGCTTTGTAGTAACCCCAGGAAGAGGGTATTAGTGCTCTCCCTATTGTGCAAAAGGGGAAACTGAGCACAGAGGAATTAAATCATTCAACTGAGATCACACCATTAGGAAGTACTGGAGCTGGGACTGAACCCAGGATGCTTGGTCCCCTATTCAGCACAGAGGAAGGGAGGAGGACAGAAGGCAGATCAGGGCCCTGAAGCTGTGGGGTACATGCATGTGGGTTGAGATGAGACCTGATGGTCTAGGACAGTGATTCTCAACCTTCCTAATGCCAGGACCCTTTATTACAGTTCCTCATGTTGTATGTGGGCGTATCTGCATGTGGGTGGACCCGCCTGGAGATGGATAGAGGAGCCATGTCTTGGTTCCTAAGATCATTGGGAATATATGTTTTCCGATGATCTTAGGCGACCCCTGTGAATGGGTCGTTCGAGCCCCAAAGGGGTTGTGACCCACAGGTTGAGAACCACTGGTCTAGGGGAAATCCTGAAACCCCAAATCACCCAGTTCTATTTTTCTTCCATGGACAAAGAAAATGACTTCAGAAGGAGACACAGTCACCCTGGATGCTTGCTCAGGCTCTGCTGCAACCGATGAAAACTCCAGGCCCCGGAAGAGGCCCACCTCCACATCATCCTCACCTGAGCCCCTTGAATTCAGCACCTTCCGGGCCTGCCAGTGAGGCTGAGGATTGGGGCTCCTCTCTCTTTGTCTATGCATTCTGCCCTCCATTCACCCTTTCATTTGAGCTGGTGGGCTGTGTAGGGACCGAGGTCCTTGCAGCTACTTTGGGGGGCTCTGGCTGCTGCTTTCTCAGGGAACTGGACAGAGACAAAGGGATGCCTGGCCTTGAGACCTTTCTCACAGAGGAGCAGGAGTGGAAGAGAGGGGGAGCAGGCATTGGTGGGGAGGCTGGACAGAAAGCAGGAAGTCTCTCTTTGGAGCCTCAGCTTCTCAGACCACCAGGGAAATTGTTAGGATCCCTTCTGGTCTTCAGTTGGGCCATAAGAGGTCTGAGCTCTCTGCACACCCCTCTGGTTTCCTCTTCCCTTGTCACACCTGACTTGGACAACCCAACTGAGTTTTTGCAGCACAGGGTACCTGGGGGTATGTTCTGAGTGTCTGCCTTGCTGGTATACCTAAGTTAATTATAGCACGTGTTGAGCTGTTCCCCAGTCCTCTACGGAGTGGAATCCTTCAAGCCTGGGACTTCTGGGGACCAATCACTGGCTACCTGGTGGATGGGGGGAGTACCCCTCAAATGCTTGCAGAACAAGGTGTTTTATAGGGAGGCCCATGAGGGTGGAGGGAGGGGACAGTGCCTCAGGGAACTCTGCTCAAGTCCTGGCGTTGGTGGGTAGAGGAGGTAGCATGACGCAGGAAGGGGCAGCGGATTATTGGGAAGAATGAATACTAAATGAGGAGGTGCAGGGAAGGGTGGGAGCTGGGGAAGATGGTAAGTGACTGTAACACTCTTTGGGTCCCCCAAAAGGGGCCCTGGAACAGTGGAGGGGGGGAACTTGGAGGGAAGATGGGGGTGTGTGTGAAAAGGCGCACGTGGCCATGCTCTGCTGCACTCACTAGCCAGCCATCACTGGGTTAAGGCAGAGTAACTAGGGGCGAAGGGAGGGGTCCAGAGGGAGGTCCAAGAATTTATTGTGGGGGAAGAGACAGTGAAGATCTGAGAATGGAGGAGGGGGACGCTGTGGGACGGAAATGGCCGTGAAGGGGAAGAGATCGCTTGAATGCTGCGGAAACGAGCCTTCCCATGGGGTTCAAGTCGGGTGCAGAGGACGTGTCCCACCTGAAACTGTTTTTCCAGGAAAGTTGGCCGAGGGATGGGCCACAGCTTGGGGGCGTGCCCCAGGCCCTGGCCCCGCCCCTCACGCAATTTTCCCCAAGTGTCCCCAGGCCTCACAAAGTGAAGCCCAGTGGGAAGGAGCGGGGCCGATATGGGGGCGGGGCCCCGTCGCAGCTGGACTCCGCCCCTCCGCGTGCAGCTTCACTAAGCCGGGCAGGGCCAGGGGGCGGAGCACAGTCTCAGGGGCGTGTCGAAGTCGTCGGGCGTCAGGCCCTCCCCCACTATTTCCCGGACTGGGGAGCCGCCTCACAAAGTGCGGCCGTTCGGGTTGGGTAGGATTCTGGGAGTGTCTGCACGACCGAGCACGCCCCCTGACGCTTGCCTGCCCCGCCCTCCAGGGGTCTCCGCCTCCGCACCGTCTCACGAAGTGTGGCCGTTCCAGTCCCGCCGGGCTAGGGGCGGGACTCAGGCCTAAGGGCGTGTCCGCGAGGCCGAGCACCGCCCCCTGACGCACGCCCGCCGCCGCCGTTTTTGGGCCACCGACACACCTCACAAAGCGGCGACCGTTCGCGTGAGGCGGGGTTGGGGCGGGGCCGACCCCTTCCCGCGGCGAGTTTCGTCCCCAGCGTGCTCCCTTCCAGCGCCCAGGGCCGCCGGCAGGGGGCGCTGCGCCACGCGGCCGGGCCGTCGGCTGTGGCAGCGAGTCGGCTCGTAGCCCGCAGGCGGCGCTGCCCGGCTCGGCCTCGGCCTCGGCCTGCGCGGCGGCGGCGGTAGCGGCGGGGACCTGTGCCCGGGCGCGGCGGCGGCGGCGGCGGCGGCGGCGGCGGCGGCGGGGCCTGGAGCCGGATCTAAGATGGCAGCGGCGGCGGCGGCGGCGGCGGCGGGGCCAGGCACGGGCGTTGTGGGGGCGGCAGGCCCAGGCGTCGCGGGGCCCTGTGCGGCCGTGTCGGTGTTCCACGGCGCCCGCCTCCTCACCATTGGCGACGCGAACGGCGAGATCCAGAGGCACGCGGAGCAGCAGGCGCTGCGCCTCGAGGTGCGCGCCGGCCCGGACGTGGCAAGCATCGCCCTCTACAGCCGTGAGTGCGGGGTCCCGGGTCCAGGCCGACGGCTGGGAGGCGCGCGGCGACTGCGCACGAGGCGGGTCCGGCGGGGGGCCCAGGGCGGGAGGGACGCAGCGGTGGTGGGTGAGGGGCTTGGCGTCCCGAGGGTTAGGGGCCTCAAGCCGTGGGGGCTAGGTGTGGGGCTCGTGGGGCTGAGCCGAGGGAGCCGGCCGTGTGGGGCCCTGAGTGAGGGGTGTGGAGGAACAGTATCAAGGGGCAGAGGTAGAAAAGAGGGCGTGCGTGGCGGTCAGAGGTGAGGTGCCTTGTGTACGAAGGGAAGCGGGAAATGGGGGAGTGAGGGCCCTGAGATTGGGAGGGTGTGGGCAGGAAGTGGGGGGCCCAGAGTGGAAAGTGAATTCGGAGGACACTGGGGGGTGTGGGGGCTAGGTGGGAGAGAAGGGGCCTGAGGTGTGGGAGAGGTGGGGAGTCTCGCGGTCTGGTGTGGCCGCCTTGGTTGGGGGAGAGAGGGGTGTGGGCATCTTCTGGCCATCTCAGGGGACCCCTGGACTGCTAAGGACAGTTGGAAAGTGGTGCCCAGTCTGAGGCGGCTTAGAGGATCGATTCCACCCGTCTGGAGGGCTTGGTATTGGTACCCCCACCCCCGCAGTGGGTAACTTGTAGATGAGGGCAGAGGGGGAGGGTGGTTCCAGTCCCTGGATGTGCTCCTGCTGATAACGTGGGTGGGAAGGACCCGTTCCTGATGCCGGGCTCGGAAGAGGGTAACACAGTTTCCTCCTGTGCCACGGTCCTCTGATCTTTCTTTTAGGGGGTGTGAGAAGCTGGGTGCGTTTTCAGAAGGTAGTTTCAAAACTGACGTTTCAGGGTGGGGGGAATCACAAGTGTGTTTGCCAAGGACCCTGAGTCTTTGTAGTTCACCATTTTTCTTTCTCTTGTTACTCTTTCTTATCTGTTCTCTTCCATTCTTGATTCCTCCTTCAAATTTTGCTATTCTGTTTCATTCAGCTTTGTCTCTCAGGGTTTCTTACACTGATGCTCTGGGAAGCCACTGGGGTCTCTTACTGGCTTTGGCCTGTGTGAATTTTTTGCCACTTTGGGTATAGAGTGTGAAGAACAGTTGGTTCACACGGTGTTCTCCCTGTGCCTTGACTTGGAAAACCCAAATTCAGGGAGCTGTGTCTGTTTCTCAAGTGTCCCACCTCTCTTTGCTGGGGCAGAGCTAGGTCTTAGACCAGATGAGGAGAAGGAGCAAGGTGTCCCAGCTGGACATCAAAGCTCTGGACAGACACTTAAGATCCATCTTAAGCTCAGTAGGATCCCCCAGATGGTAAACAAGGCCATTCTGCAAGCATTAAAGGGGAACAGAATAAAGTAGGGTAGTTTCTCAAACTAGGGTTCCAAGCCTGACCCACAAAGGAGTTCCAGGAGAGTTGGTTTTTCTTTTGTAAATAAACTTGTGATTTTAAAACAGTTTGAGGTTTATAGGTTTATTAGGAAGATAGTACAGAGAGTTCTCATATACTCCATACTCAGTTTCCCCTGTTAGCATCTTTGTCCAGGAGAGCTTTTACTTTTGTGTTTTTGTTGATAATCTTGAATTGTATGAACTGTGAAGATAACATTTCTCTTTTTGAGGTAACTCATAACTGAAGTATCATTTGTAAAGAGGAGAACATTCATGTTTCTTAAACTGAGATCTTTAGTCTGGGATGATACAGTCTCACAAATCTGAAAGCCACCCCCTCCCCCCCCTCCTTATTTTCATGTAGCATTGGTGTGGGGTTGAGCAAGGGTTCTGGAATGTATTCTCATACAGTTCCTGGCCCAAAGTCTGAAATCAAAGTGTTGGCAGGGCCATATTCCCTCTAGAGGCTCTTTTCTTGCCTCTTGCAGCTTCTGTAGCTCCAGGTATTGCTTGAAGCCTCAGTCTTCTCCCGTCTCTTGATCTGTAATGACACTCATCTTTGGATTTAGGGCTCACCCTAAATCCAGGATGATCTTACCTCACGATCCTTAATTATACCTGCTAAGACCCCTTTTCCAAATAGTAAGGTCATTTTCGTAGGTTCTGGGTGTTAGGGCTTGGACATAGTTTTTTATTTTTTTATTTTTTTGGTCCACTACATTGGCTAGACTAGTGCTCTGCCAGTAGCTGTGTGTCTTTGTGCCTCATTTTCCTCATCGGTAGAACGGCGGTGATCATAGGACTGTGGCACAGCGTGTTTCCTCAGTGAATGAACACTCCTTGGAAGCACCTGCTTCTGTAACTGGCTGGCAATGTCCTCAAAGTTGGCTGGGTTACTGGTCAGGGTGAGGCAGCACTTGTTCCTGAGCAGCCCTGGAGAGTGGGTGCACAGGGACGGATTGCTGTGAAGGGTATTGGGGAGTGCAAAGTCCCAGGGCTGGGGTGTGGGCTGCACACTGCACCTGGATCTGAGATCAGGCCTGCTGAGTGTGGAGTGCTGACTGATAGTCCCTTGGAAAAAGTCAGAGATGGTCCAGCCACTGAGGGGATGTGTAGGCATGTGGCAGCTGGGTGGGTAGCAGAGGGTGGGGATGAACCAGGCTGCTGGGAGCTTTAAGCCTTCTCTTGGGATAAACTTGCTTCCTTGGCTTTAGCATTTTCCCACCTGGATCCTTCTGGGACCTGAATGCTTTGGCCACGTGAAAAATCGTCAGGGGCTCAGTTTTGCTCACCTGTCTCTCATGAGGTGGGGGTCTTTCGAGCTGCTTCTGCTTCCAGATCACCTTCAGGATTTGAATCTATGTTTGGGTGGGGATGGGTGTTGGCCAGGACACCTGCACGAATCTCCCAGTGGCTCACATGTGGGATTTGGACCAGAGGCATCCTTGGATGCTGGCGAGGGTTCTGAATGTGGAGTCACTTCCCTGAGCCTGTTTTCTTACCTGTAGCAACACTCACCTGCACACAGACTCGGTTTCCTCATCTACACTGGGAATGCTGCCATTTGGAGCTCGGGAACATGGGTGAAGTGGACTGTGGGTGTGTGGAACAGGGTGTCTTGCATTAAATAGTCAATATTTCAATAGATATTATCGACTGTGATGTTATTAGTGTAGAGTAGTGAAGGACTGGTTTTTCAATGAGGGATCCCCTTATGCTACAGGCTGCCCAGCTGTCTTGTATTTTCTGCAGATGGGAGAGAGACCCCTGGGCTGCAACCTCTGCCTGAGGCGGCAGGTCTGAGATCTGGGTGTGGGTACCAGGATGTACAACCCTGTTTCATTTTTTTTTTAAAATTGATTTTAGAAAGAGAGAGGAAGGGAAAAAGAGAGAGAAACATTGACTTGTTTCACTCACCCATATATTCATTGGTTGACTTTTGTATGTGCCCTGACTGGGGATTGAACTTGCAACCTTGGTGTATCAGGATGATGCTCTAACCAATTGAGCTACCTAGTCAGGTCCAGCCCTGTTTCTTTTGTCATCTAATCATTACCTGGGAATGTTTTTTCATTGATGAGAGAGAGAGAGAGGGAGAGAGAGAGAG